TTTCCCATACAATATTATGATACATATACTTTCTTTGTCTTCTAGGGCATTCACAGTATTGAACAGATGAGAAGGACAGTGTCCTGTGACATGGAATACTAGAGATCTGATATTTATGCATAGGCAGGCATGTTGTTTCCCTTGGTGGAATGTAAGTTCCTTGAGGACAGGGACTTTGAATCCCCATAGCCTGGCACATAGCACATGCTTAATGAATGCTTATTGATTGATTCTATGTGAAGAGAGGCTGAGATCAATGAGGTGTACTAGTCTAGGTTGTTGTTTCACCTTCATTTTTCAAAAGGACCAATGATATCACTGGTGATGTCTTGACTTGCATGTGAATTGGATTTAAGTGAGGCAGAGCTGCACAAAGTCATCAGTCCTACTCTTTCTTCCTGAGTCATTTAAGTCCACTGGCAGGACAAAAGTCAAGGGACTAGTCTGGGTATATGTCACATGTCTATAGCATTAAAGATAATAACGGACATTTATTTAGCACTTTAAAGTTTGCAAAGTCTTTTATTTAACATTAATTTGGGCCTCACAACAACCTCATAGAGTAAGTACTCCAGGTAACATTATCCTCATTTTACATAAAGGAAAACTGAGACTCACAGAGATAAAGTGATTTTCCCATTGTCATACATCTAGTAAGTGTCAGAGATGAGATTTGAACCCAGGTCATCCTAAACCTAAGTCCCATATCTTATCCACCATTCCAGGCTCAACACTGTTGAGAATCCCCAGGGATTCCAAGGACTAGAGTTCTGTTCTAATTCTCTCTTCTCTACACTACCACCAAGTGGTGATAGGGTCACATGGTATAACCAGTAAAACCAATGATTTTAAAATGGTAGCACCGTTCTGAAAGATAAAAACTTCCAGGCATGAGAAGACTGGGACCTAGAGATCAAGATTATGACTGTGAAAATGAGTAAGAAGGGACTAACTGAAGAAATACACTAGAGGATGCTTATGTCATAACCATTGTCTTCAGCTTTGTCTGGCTTGCCCAAGTAAATTCAATTGCTGTTAACCCTCCTGGCTGTTTCCAGTTCCCAGAAGCCATAGTCCCACATACTACCTCTAATAACCCCATTAGACTTCCTGAAGGGCTTCTGGAGCCAGAGCTAGTATTTTGTGATGGGAAGTGCTAGGAGACCGAAATAATCATTACCTTCAAAATATATAGTTATTGTACACTGAAGTGACTCGGAAAAAGCACTTCAGAGTACCAAGAGGAAGAAGCATAGTCCAGTCAGTTGGGTGTCAAAAAAATGAATTGTCTGTGCTTCAGTCTTTCATAAGCTAGAGATGATACTACTGAACTACCTGCCAGGAGTATGGAAAAGTACTATGCAAGTAAAACTCATCATTACAAAGGAATCATATAAAGTCAGAATAGAACCTCACTCTTTCTGACTTCTTGGCCGGTGCTTTTCCCACTCTAGGATGCTGAATGACTCCAGAATGACTCTTGAGATGTCAGGTTATTTCTAAAGCCATTTCAATGGCATTTTCATCTCCCTTCAGGAGACCAGCACTTTGATGCTTGGGCCAGACATCAAGTCATTCACGTCACCAGCAGAGGAAAGATGGATTCCCCAAAACATTAATGAACTCCTGCAGAGCCAGGATGCCATATCCTCAGCAAGAATAGTGATAATTATTTCCTTAGATACTAAGGGGAAAATGGATTTGTCCGTGAGGACAGAGTTATCAAAAGAGGTCAATCAATCTATCAATAGGCATTTTGTTAAGTGCCTATTATGTACCAAGCACATGCCAGGAATAGGGCAAGCCAAAACTGAGACAGCTCCTGCCCTCATGCAAACATCTTTATGGAGATAATCTTTCCCAGGGAAGACATCCCTATTTTAGGGATTAGTTTGGGGGCAGTCCAACTTGGAATTGGGGGGGAGGGTGATCTTGAGATCCTAAAAGTCCTTTCTAGCCCTGGGCTTCTGTGTGACTTTAACGACACAGATGAAATTAACCAAACATGGGCCATATAAGACATGTTGGGTTTTGTTTTTACAATTTTGCCAGGCGCGCTATACCTTCCCTCTCCAATTTCAATCATTTTCCAGCAGGCTAATAAACATTTTCATTCATTCATTCAATGAGCATTTATTACATATCTACTTTGTGCTGGGGAATACCAAAAGATATATCTTCTTCAAGGATCTTATAGTCTAGTGGATAAATAACATATCTATGAATGAAAATTAAATAATGATATGAGCTTAAAATACAAGCAATGTCATAAGATAGCATATATTACAAGTCTCCCTTACTACACACACCCAGTTTCCAATTCCTGCCAATTGTATCACCATGGGATCTTTCCTTTCTGTCACAATAGCACCCCCACCACCCCACATTTAGGCCCTAATCTTTTCTCACTTAGGCTACTGTCTGTTAATTAGTCTCCTTACTTCCAGTGTATCCCATCTCATTACATATTTCACAAGACTGTCCTAATTTCCCTTTCTGATCAATTAATATCAATCAATATGCATTTAGTTAAGCACCTACTATGTGCCAGGAACTGTGCTGGATGCTAGTGATACAAATATAAAAGTGAGACATTCTCTATTCTCAAAAGGTTTACATTCTACTAAAAAAGATACAAAATATATCTTTAATAACTTACAGCTAGGAAAGATACATTCTCAACACAGATAAATGCATGTAGGCTGCATACAAAATAAATATACAATGATTTGTGAGAGAACATAGTAACAAGTAGGGAAATTAGTAAAGGCCTTTTGAAGGTGGCAGCCACTGAGCTGAGCTTTTAAAGGAATTAGAGGTTTTGGAGGGAAAGAGGGAAAGCATTCCAGGCATGGCAGATACTCTGTGCAAAGGCATAGAGTGGAAAGAGGAAATACCATCTGGGGAAATAAGGAACAGCAAGTTGACCAGTTTAGTTGGGAATAGAGGAAATAATGTATAATTACTCTGGAATGATAAGCTGGAGTATGACTGGGAAGGGTCAGGAAACATCTTTTGTTCATATATTTTGACTAGGGAATGGCTTTTATTTATCAACTAGGGAATGGTTCTTTTTTATAAATTTGGCTCAGTTCTCTATATGTTTGAGAAATTAAATCTTTATCAGAGAAATTTGCTGTAAACCTTTCTTCCCAGTTTTCTGTTTTCCTTCTAATTTTGGCTGCACTAGTTTTATTTATGCAAAAGCTTTTTTAATTTCATGTAATCAAAACTATTCATTTTATATGCTGTGATGCTATCTATTGTTTGATCATAAATTGTATAGATCTGACAGGTACATTTTTTCCATGCTCACCTAATTTACTTATGATATCACTCTCTGTCTCTAAATCATTTATCCATTTATATCCATTCATCCATTTATCTTGGTATATGAGATGTTGATCTATGCCTAGTTTCTGCCAAACTGTTTTACAGTTTTCCCAGCAATATTTTTCAAGCATTAAGTTCTTGTTCCAAAACTTATTATCTTTGGGTTTATTGGACATTAGACTATTACAGTCATTTACTACTGTGTATTGTGTACCTAATCTATTCCACTTATCCATCTAGATTGTTTTGATGATTATCACTTGTAATATAGTTTGAAATTTGGAACTGTTAAACTGCCTCTCTTCACATTTTATTTTTTCATTGATTCCCTTATAATTCTTGGGTCATGGGTCTATTTAAAATCTATCAGCAAATTCCCATTGCTTACAGAAAAATTATGAACACTTAAATGTTGCATTCAAAACCTTCCATGATATGTCTCTAATCCACCTTTATGTCATCTCCATATATTCTACATATCAATCAATCTGAACTACTCACCATTCTATCTTTCATTACTGCCCTTTCCAATCCCTGGGCCTTTGCTCATGACATCTTCAATGACCAAAACATTCCATTCCACATTCTACCCCCATCTCCCCATCTCCTTGCCCTGCTCCAAGGCCTACTTTGTCCATAAAGCTGTCCTTCATCCATTCCTTTTCCCATACACAAAATCTCCCTCTTTGAATTTCTCACAGTACTTTGCTTCCCTAGATCTTTCCTCTGCACTTAATTCACTCTCCCTTGTGCTATAATTACACACACACACACACACACACACACACACACACACACACACCCCTCCACCATTATATTATAAGTTGCTTGAGAGTAGGATCCATGTTGTAGTTCTGGATAGTCATGGAGTCAGCTAGGCCTGAACTCAACCAGCCTCAGACACTTTCTAGCTGTATGACTCTGGATAAGTGATTCTGTCTGCCTCAGTTTCTTTCTCTGTAAAATGGAGATCATAACAGCACCTACCTCCCAGGGTTGTTGTGAGGATAAAATGAGATAATATTTGTAAAGTGCTTTACAAACCTTAAAGAGCTATATAAATGTTAGCTATTCTTATTCTTGTGCAGTTAGGTGGTGCAGTGGATAGAGTGCCGAGCCTGGAGTTAGGAAGACTCATCTTCCTGACTTCAAATCTGGCATCAGACACTAGTTGTGTGACCTTAGGCAAGTCACTTTACCCTGTTTGCCTCCGTTTCCTGATCTGTAAAATTATCCAGTGAAGGAAATGGCAAACTACTCCAGTGTCTCCACCAAGAAAACCCATGAAGAGTCAAACACAACTGAAAAATGACTCAACAACAATAATTCTTATTCTTATTATTCCCAGGCTCTAGCACAGTACCCTACAAATAGCTATATTTCAACACTTCCATAAATCAATAGGCATACTCCCTCCAGAGGTACTAATCACAACTCATCCATGCCTTCTCATCCTGTGTGATTCTTGTCTATTCTTGTCCATGTTATCCTGCAGTTTCTCTACGAAGGATCTGGATTTAGAACCAGAAGGGACCCCCTTCCCTGCTGACTTGATGATAGAAGTCAGTCAAAACAAGTCCATAAATATTTATTGGAAAGTTAGAAGAAAGTCCCCAGAAATCTCCTATCCTTTGAGCTGATTGGACCCTGTTCTTCCTTCTCTACAGGTGGCGGCAGAGTATTTTAAGAACACCACCCTGCTGCTAATGGGAGTCATCTGTGTGGCAGCAGCAGTGGAGAAATGGAACCTGCACAAGCGGATTGCCCTGCGCATGGTCATAATGGCAGGAGCCAAACCTGGCATGTAAGTACAGTCTTAGACTACTGATAGACTCATGCCCATAACACAGTAGGCTTTATTGATGTGTCTCTCCTCTACAGGGATACTGCCCAGAACATGCACTCTATTTTTCTAGGAATGGGAATGGAGTTGCCCTGAACCATCCACACTCCTACCGTGTCCTTATTCTAGCCAATAATATATATATCTTTAAGAAGACAATCAACTATTAGAGTGGCCATGAAACTGACATTTTATCTGCATGAAGAAAATTTAGCTACATAAGGACTGAATTCAGAGATGTATTGGAACCAGCTTGGACCAGCTCTCAAGAGCTGATTATTAAATTTTCAGAGTGAGCATCTTCTCCTCAGAAATTAGCAAATACTATAAATCAAGGCTTGATTTTTCCTTTTCATGATTTCTAGACTTAAGAAAGTAATGGAGAAAATGTTAATAATGCAAGAAGAAGAAGAATGCAAAAATAATGATGATGATGTGAAAAATAATAACACAATGTCTATGATATATAAATATAGTTGTTAGTATTTTCCACTTTTAAGCTCAAATCCTACGTTCATATTTCTACTTGGAGGGTGCATTGGATAGAGAAGGCCAGCAATTCACCACCTTCTCCCTCAAGTAACATTTTTTTCTGTTCTGCTGTTTCTAAAGTCAGAGGGACTGTTTACTCATTGACAAGTGAGATCAACATATGGATGATGCCTGAAAGGGCACTAAAACTGCCTCATGTTAGGTTTACCAGATAACCAGCACGGCTCTTTCCATTGTACAGAGTCCATTTTGATAGCTTAATTGTTTCTCTTTTTTTTGTAGAATAAGGACAATCAGATAAATAACTTCTAGGCATGTTGAGATCATTAATTGGGTTACCCTCAAAAGAATTTTGAACTTTTGAATCTTTTTTTGTGGATTAGCCACAAGAAAATGTTCATCCCAGATTAGATACTGCTTGACCCATATCCACTTGTTTCTGGATCATTCCCACTCTCCATTTCCCCATTTCCCCCATAATTTGTTATGAGCTCATTGGGTATTAAAAATCATTTGGATGTCAGCCTACTCAAAACACCTTTGCAGCATTAGCCTACCCAAGTAATAATTCAGAAATTAGATATGCTGCCTACTGCATTCCACCAAATTGTATTATGCTTCTTATCTATCAAATAATGAGGCTATTTTTATATACGTCTTATAGAAATAAATACTCATATAGTCACAACCTTATGTAACATCTCAAAAAGTTAAATAGAAATGATTTTTAAATGATCCACAGACCTGTTCTTCCCCATTAATAAGTATAGCCAAGAATGGTATTACAAAAGAGAGAAACAGGAAGCATTTAACTTTAAGTGGGTTCAGTAGCTCAGTGAGAAAACACAATAAACTGGGTTCTGGATTCTATTAGCTACTTGGCCACTGAAAGACCTTAGCTGTTTTCTCTTTATATTTGAGGGTTTGGGAACACTTGAGTTCAAATTCAGCCTTAGATACTTACAAGGTGTGTGACTCTGGGCAAGTTACTTTCAAATTTTTTTAAATTATTTTTTGGGGGCAGCTAGGTGGTGCAGTGTATAGAGCAAAGGCCCTGAAGTCAGGAGGACCTGAGTTCAAATCCGGCCTCAGACCAAACACTTGACACTTACTAGCTGTGTGACCCTGGGCAAGTCACTTAACCCCAATAGCCAAAAACAATATTTTTTGCATGCACTCACACACAGGAGAATCACATGGCTAATGTCTGGAATGAAGGAAGAATGGTTAAGAAATATTGTACTTAGGGTCAGCTAGGTGGCACAGTGGATAGAGCACCAGCCCTGAAGTCAGGAGGACTTGAGTTCAAATCCAGCCTCAGACACTTGACACTTACCAGCTGTGCCACCCTGAGCAAGTCACTTAACCCCATGGGCTAGCAAAAATAAAATAAAATAAAATAAAATAAATACTGTACTCTCAGCTGCTACCTAACACCTTCCTATCTGCAATTACCATACATCTACTCTGTACAAAGCTTTTACATATCTAGTATTTGCGAGTTATCTCACCCATTAGAAATGGAGATCCTACAGGATAGATACTACTTTGGAAGCAATATACAAAACAAAAAGGAAACAATTACACAGGAAGCTATATACAAGATAAATGGGAAATAAATCATGGAGGGAAGGCACTAGAATTCAGAGAGGTTGGAGAAGGCTTCCTGTAGAACATAGGATTTTAGTTGGAACTTAAAGGCAGGAAGGTCAATAGTCAGGGCAGAGGAGGGAGAGCTTTTCAGTCATTGGGTATAGCCAGAGAAAATGCCCAGAAATTGAAACTTCAAATAGTAAGTGCTAAATAAATGATTGTTAACTGAATGACTGACTTAATCCATGAGTACCATCTATGAGTATATTTGTGTACAATGGAAAAAGGAAGATGAGAATAAACCGTATTATCATTAGCTGGGAAAAAAAGAAATATTGTACTTCTGTCACCAATGGTATTGTATATCTTAGTAAGGACTTCTGCCTTGCTTGAGACAATTAACTCTTGAAATTGTTCTTGCTGCCAAAATGGATTAGATTATTACTAAGATCCCTCTCAGCTATAAACCTGTGGTCCCATGATTTATTATTTAAGGATCAGTAATAATGAAACCCTTGGAAATAGACTATTCTATTCATATTCTAAATAAAATTAGCATGGCTTGTGGCAGGGAGAAAGAAATTGTATTTGCTGGTTCTTTGGTATGAAATGCAAGTCCAAGTTTAAGACTAATAGATACCTACTATTATTTACTAGATTAGGACCACCCAATGCAAAAGCTACTGAGAAATCTACACGTCACCTAGAGGAAGAGTCAAGATGATTTGTTCCTAAGGTTCTAGATTGTGTTCTAGATTGCATTCCAGTCCTCTTTCGAGTACCATGAGGTCCATTGCTGGCTTCTCAGTTTTGCTGTGGCCTCCTTCCTTCCAGGCTGCTGCTGTGCTTCATGTGCTGTACTACCCTTCTATCCATGTGGCTCTCCAATACCTCCACCACTGCCATGGTGATGCCGATTGTGGAGGCCGTGCTGCAGGAGCTGGTCAGTGCTGAAGAAGAGCAGGTCATGGCGGCCCCTGGCAACTCCAGCACTGAAGAAACTGAGCCAATCAGTACAGTTTGCTTGAGTTTTCCTAAAACTTTAGCACTCCCTTCTTCCCCATACAGGCCCTTAGGTTTCTCTTCTTCCCCAAATATCTCCCTGCTCCTAGGACTTACACACGTATGGCTCTACTTTCCAATCTTCCCCCCTAAAACCCTGAGCATTTTCCCTCGAGACTGGTCACTGCCAATCCCTGTTTCTTTCCCCTATGGCTACCACCAAAAACTCCTCCTCTTCTCTCAAATGTTGTAGATCACATCCAAAGCCCAACCTGAAGTCCATCTATGTATGTTATCCCTCTGGGCCTTCAGAGCAGAGAAGGAAAGCATGGCTATCCACCAAGGTACCCTGGGAGTTAGGAAGAGACAATGGTGGATGTAACTGGAGGCTGGAAATACTTTCTCACCCAGCTCAGAACCCTTAAAGAACCACTTACTGCCCTGTGTCACCTGAAGCCCCAATATTTTCTCTCTTCTCTCTCTCCTCCTCCTCCTCTCCAACTATAGGTCTTGGTGAAAAAAATGGACCCCCTTCTCTGGAGCTCATTTTTGTCAATGAAGAGTGAGTACATCCATCCTCTAATAGGAAGAGAGGCAAAGTTTCTGCCACTCTTTATATATCACTTGTGCCCTTATCACATTCTATTTTACCTTATAGTTAGCTATACTCTTTGAGTTACAGTTACTGAGAAGCAGCAGGACATAATGAACTTGCCTTGAAGCCAGAAAGACCTAGATTCAAGCCCCACTTCTGAATATTCCAACTCCATGACCCTGGGAAGTCACTTAACTTCTTAGGCTCCTAGTCAGTTCTCTAAAACTGTAAGTTGCAGAGAAGGAGCCTACTTGCATTAACAGAGGAAGTTCCCTATGCCAGTGAAACCACAGGTCCAATTCTCATCCCTAGCTATTTGTCCAGACATATTCTCCCTCCCATCAGCTGCAAATTCCTTGATAGCTGACACATTTGTAGTCATTGCTAAGCACAACGCCTCTTACAAAGTAGGTACTTAAGTAATGTTTATTTTCTTCAATTTAAAAAAAAATTGAGTGTTAAGAATGAATAGAACTGAGATCTCCTAAAGTCCCATGAAGTCCAGTCCAATGTCCTCCTTCATATCTTGTTCTTTTTCCTTTCTTCCAGCTCATCAACCCCAGATTTCCCTTCTCTGATGCAGGGCAAGGTACTTCTTTTTGTTCTTTCTGTGCTCTGAGATGACTCATCAGGCCGGTGGGATAAATCAGGGAGGTAGCAGTGCCCAGCCTCCCTGGCTTCCAAGATCATCACCTTCTTCTGTCTAATGAAGGCAAAGAAGCACACAAAAATGGAGGGGGAGGGGAAAGCATCCAACTCTTGGCAAGCTGGTGACTGGAGTCACCTTCTACTACAGGGTCAATCCTGAATGACTTATAATAATGGGCACTACCTCAGAAAGTACAAATGGTGGCCCAGTGGATAGAATATGGGGCTGGAACCAGGAAGACTCATCTTCCCGAGTTCCAATCTAGCTACCTGGGCACCTGTTTGCCTCACTTTCCTCATCTGTAAAATGAGCTGGAGAAGGAAATAGCAAACCACTCTAGCATTTCTGCCAAGAAAACCCCAAGTGGGGTCAGATACAACTGAATAGCAACATCTCATTTTTCACAAACTTGACAGAGGAAAGTCCATATTTGTAAGAAAGATATATTGAAAGGGGAAGCTAGGTGGTGCAGAGGACAGAGCACTGGCTCTGAAGTCAGGAGGACCTGAGTTCAATTCCGGCCTCAGACCAAACACTTGACACTTACTAGCTGTGTGACCCTGGGCAAGTCACTTAGCCCCAATTGCCTAAAAACAAAAAAACAAACAAACAAAAAACCCAAACAAAACAACAAAAAGAAAGATACATTGAAGTGGGGGGAGAGAACATCATTAATTAGTTTAAAGAAAAATTATTACTGTTTCAAAAAGGATTCTCCATTTAAATAGCGTTAATAGTCCTAAAATAGTTTTAATACTCCTTTAAATATCAAGCTGCTGTATATTTAAAATGATTCAATTTACAAAAATTCAATATGTACAGAATTTTAAAGGGTGTATGTGTAAGTGTGTGTGTCTGTGTGTCTGTGTGTGTGTGTGTAGTACTATAAGTTTGAAGCAATTTGAAGCTTTTGTATCATGGATCCATCTGATAGTCTAGTCTATGGACTCCTTAGAATCATGCTTTTAAATGCTTAAAGCAAAAATATATATATATGCTTACAAAGGAAACCACTTATATTGCAATACAGTTATTGATATATTATAAACACATGCTCACAAATCCCAGGTTAAAGAACTCTGGGTTTAAAGGATTTTCTTTATTTTAAACGGAAAAAAAGAACCAAAAGTTTCTTTAGAGAAAAAAAAATTCCAAAAAAATTAGGATCAGCGAGAGAAAGTCATCTTTTGCGAGACTCCTAACTTGGTGTTTGACACTGAGGGTGGTTTAGAACTAACAACAGTTTTATCACAGCAATAATAATAATAATAATGATCGATTTATATAAGGTTTTAAACTTTGCAAAGTGTTTTTCTTAGCAAGATGGAAGCAGAACTGATGAGGGATGGGCAATCCCAGTCAAATGGTCACTTTCCTTGGCTTCTAGCCCACTGACTCCGCAAAGTCAAGTGCCATTTTCCACACCCATTCCAAGTGTCAGGAGTACTCACCTAGGCACTTCACCCTAGACATCCTTTTCCTGGCAGGCTCACTGATCTTGTTCCTACAGAACCTGAATGGAGTTCACATGATCACCAACCCTATCAAGTCTGTGAAACCTCAGAGCAAGAGACAGAGCTCACCTCAGGTAAGGGAGTTAGAGGGAGTCCTATTTCATATAGGAAGTATGTCTTGAGGGCATATTGTCTTCCATGAAGGCCACTGTCCCTGCAGACCTCAGATCAGGTGTTGCACTGCTTAGCAGTGTTATATCTGAGCCCTCTTTGCCCAGATGAATGTGGCTCACCCTTCTGTGCCACAGGAAGAGAGTAACCCCTTCCTCACCCACATGAGGGCTTTGAAGGATCCAGCTTAGGTCCTTCCCAGGTAAGAGAAGTATGGCATTGGTTCCAAGCAAGGTGGCTTATTCCTCTACAATCTGGCCCAAGAATGAGCCAGGGCCAGGGAGAAAAGGGAATGAAGAGAAAGGAAAAGATGAGTGAGATTCCTGCTTTGTTCTCTGGTCCAGGATTTAGACCAAAGGTTCCCAAACTTATTTGGCCTAGCACTCCTTTTTAAAAAAATTATTCAGTGCCTCCCTAGAAATCTACTTTCTTTAACCCTTTAATTGTTTTTTTAAAAATCTGTGTCATTTCAAAAAATATAAATATTTTTAAATGATACATCTTAAATTTAATAATTTATTGTAAATTTGTGGGGGGTTTTACTGCATTGAAATTTTGAAGATGCAATATTGCATCTTGTAACCATACAGTATCACATTGTAAAGAAGTCATTACACACACATATTCCTGCCAATGCATTCTAGATTTCCCGACAATGTGTGACATGCTCCCCTGCCAACACTTGTTTGTTAAGACCTGTCGGCAGACTTGACCACTGATAGGTTACAACTTGCCTTTTGTGTGTTTATTTGGAAAATAATGTAATCACTACTACTTTAGCTCTGGTACACAACAGATGAAACATGTATAAACGGTTTTTCAAAATTCTCTTCTCTTCTTTCCTTATGCTTCCACTACCCCCTTATTTTTATTCAATGCCCCCAATTGCATCAGAGGCTACTACCACCCCTGGATCATTCCAGTGCCCCCCAGAGGGTGGTATCACCCACTTTGGGAACCTCTGCTTTAGACTAAGGATCAGAGTCACCAACAGAAATAAGCAGTGTCTATGGGAGCTACTGGTAGACCAGTAGTCTACCAGTACAGACCAGGCAGGAGGGGAAAATGGAAAGGAAAAAAAATACTATGAGAGGAGGAGAGAGAGAGAAAAAAGAAGGAAGAAAACAATACATATGGTAGAGAGAAGTAGTGTGTCATCAGCAAATGACCCAGGCAAATTCAGTGGCAATAAAGCCATAAGTCAGTGATGTCAAATTCAAATAGAAATAGAGGCTACAAAACCGTACATTAGGAAGGATCCTTTCAGGAACATATTGACTTAGAAAAGAAAAGTATATCTCAACATTATCTATGTTCTATTATAGATTTACTTATTTTGTTAACTATTTCCCAATTACATTTTAATCTGGTTCGCCCACACACATACTGGAGAGTGTACCTGGGGTATGTTTGATACCTGTGCAACAGATCACCTAGACCAACTCAAGAACCTTCCTCCATTGTCTACATTCTGCCCAGGCCAAGAAGACACCTTCTGACCAGAAGGCAGCCTCCTTCTGCTCTTCAAGAATGATCCATTAGTATTCACCCAACCAGGACCTTTTCTGACCTGAATTAGAAGAGTGGGTTTGATCTTCATGGTAGTTACTGCCTTCCAACTACCTGTGGAAGGGTGGTCAGACTTGTTCTGCTTGACCCCATAGGGAAGAACTAGCAACAATGGGTGAAAGTTGTAGAATGGCAGACTTCAAAGATTTCCTAAATAACTAGAGCAATCTGAAAAGAGAAGAGTTGTCTCTAGAAATGAATTTCCTATCATTGGAAACTTCCCAATGGAGAGCGGATCATAACAATAACTCATCTTTTACATACATTAAGATGTTTGACTGTTCTAACAACCCTGTGAGGTAGGTGCTACTATTATTCCCATTTTACAGATTAAGGGACTGAGGCTAAAAGAGGCTAATTAACTTGCCCAAAGTCACAAAGCTAACAAGTTTCTAAGGTGGGATTTGAACCTAGGTCTTCCTGACTCTAGGTCCAACACTCTATCCACTCTACCACCCTGGCTTCTGCTGGTGAACATCTGTCAGAAAAACTGTAGAGCATATTCCTACTGAAGTACAAGCTAGACTATATGGCCTCTGAGTACCCTTCCAGCTGTTGAATTCTAGGATTCTATGAATAGAATGTCAGCTCCTTGAGGACAGGGACTATTTCATTTCTGTCTTTGTATCTCCAGTTTCTAGCACAGTGCTTGCAGATAGCAGGTGTTTAATAACTAGTAGTAATAGTAGTAGTAGTAGTAGTGGTAGTAGTAGTAGTAGTAGTAATAGTAGTTAGTAATTGTGGTTGGTGGTGGTGATGGAGGTGATGGTGATAATGGTGGTAAAGAAGGTGCTGGTGGTGATAGAGGTGGTAGTAGTGATGGTGGTGATGGAGGTGATGGAGGTGATGATGGTGAAGGGCAAATATCTTTCCTGGAGTATGACCCTGGACACCCCATTACTAATGATACTCTCTACACCAGGCAGCCAAAACTGGGATGGAGGGGTACAGTACATTTCCTTTGGCAGGAACGGCTATTAGTCCTGCCCCCTGACCCTAGGAACCTGGAGCTGAGCAGCAAGTACAGATCCCAACACGATCATATGGTCTGCAAGTGCCTCTCCCTGAGCATATCTTATGCTGCCACCATTGGGGGCCTGACCACCATCATTGGCACATCCACCAGCCTCATCTTCCTAGAACACTTCAACAAGTAAGTCATGTGGAATTTTGTCCCAGGAAAAGTCTGACAGAATAGAATAATGCCACCTTTGATTCCAAAGGCATAGATTAGGGTTCAACAGAGCAGGCCTATACCCTTTGCTTACAAAATATCATGTCAGGGTCTGAACATTAGTCTTTCTAGGGAGTAAAAAATACTTGATGGTGAAGCATGGATTCTTAGTGGCTAAGCAAAAGGGACATCTCAGCCATCAGACAGCCCAACTACAAAACACCACCGCGGTTTGTCTGGGCATTCTTTCAAGTCCAGCATTCCTGAGAATAGAAATAGCCCTAAATACAACTCTGAAATATATAAAGTTTTTATTTGGATAGAGAGCTGGCCTTGGAATTTGGAAAGACTTGGTTTTAAGTACAATTTCTGACACTTGCTGGTTATGTGGCCCTGAACAAGTCACTTCACAGTTCTAGGCAATTTTTTAAGACCTTAAGGAGAAGAAGCCAGTCTGCTTTGATCAGGGGAATATCCTCAATTGGAGTTCCCTGTATCAATGAAATCACAAACCTAAAGAGAGAGACAGAGAGACATACAGAGACAGACAGAAACAGAGTCAGAAAAAGAGAGAGAGAGAGAGAGAGAGAGAGAGAGAGAGAGAGAAGAGAGAGAGAGAGAGAGAGAGAAGGGAAGAGATAGGGGAAAAAAAGAGAGGGGAGAGAGAAGAGGGGGGGAGAAAGGATTCAATAACTGTCCTCTATCGTTATGATCACTCAGGGGCCTTTTTTGCTTACTTCCTAGTTCCCACCAAGGTCCTGAAGAGTTGAGGTTGTTGGCTAAATGACATCTAGATATGGAAGATGTCAGGCTATAATTAGAGGCATCAGTCCAACCATATTTGTGTTGCAGAGCTTGTTAACACCAAAGTACCATTTAGAACTTCATCCTCCCAACCGTTTTGGTCACTGACCCAACTCTTTCTCTTCCAGCCAATACCCAAATGCGGAGGTGGTGAACTTTGGGACCTGGTTCCTTTTTAGCTTTCCCATCTCCCTCATCATGCTGGTGGTGAGCTGGTTTTGGATGCACTGGCTGTTCTTGGGTTGCAAGTGAGTAAACCCTGTCAAGTACAATAGACTGGCATGGCTCCTCTGTCCTATGCACTGAGAAGCAGATGGCAACAGTCCTAGCAATGTGCTCCTGAGGAACTCACTTTCTTCAAGGAAGGTGCTTTTGACATCTCTGGCTTAAAGTTGACTTTTAATAAACCTAAAAAGAGTAATTTGGATTGGGAGCTAAGAATTCTCCATTCTAGTCTTAGCTGTTTCATTGCTTAAAAGCCATATCAATTATCTAGTCAATTAGTCAATAAACATTTATTAAGGGCCTACTATGTGCCAGGTCCTCTGCTAAGCACTGAAGATACAAGGAAAGGTTAAAAAAAAAAGGTGGGGGGCAGTGAGGTGGCGCAGTGGATAGAGCACTGGCCCTGGACTCAGGAGGACCTGAGTTCAAATCTAGCCTCAGACACATGATACTCACTGGCTGTGTGACTCTGGACAAGTCATTTAACCCCAATTGCCTCACAAATAAAACACTCATACACACACACACACATACACACATACACACACACACACACACACACACAAACCCATTCCTACCCTCCAGGAGATGGGGAAGACAATATACAAATAACTGTGTACAAACAAATAATATATATATATAATAAATTGGAAATAATCAACAGAGGAAAGGTACTATTAGAATTAAGAAGGATCAGGAAAGACTTCCTATAGCAGGTGGGATTTTCCAGGAATAAGAGGGTGAATCCCACTGTACGCTACTGTGATTCATTGGAGTTGATGACAAATTGGAAAGAAAGAACAGATGATGTAGAAATTGAGCAGGGCAGGGTAATCAGGATGGAGAAGGACCACAAGTCCATGCTATATAGGGATTGGTTGAAGGAACTGGGGTTATTTGATCTAAAAAGAGAAGACTCAGAAGGGATATAATAAATGTACTGAAACAGATGCCACTGGAAGAGAGATTAAACGTGTTCTGTTTGACCCCAGGCTTAGGCTGAGGAGCTGTAGGTGAAAGCTGCACAGAGGCAAATATAGGCTTGATATAAGGAAAACTTTCTAACAATTAGAGATACCCAAAAGTGGAATGGTTGGCCTCAGGGGAGCATTGCGGGAGGGGGCCTTCTGGGCACTGGAAATTTTCTTTTCTTTTTTTTTTTTTTTGCTTTTAGGCAATTGGGGTTAAGTGACTTGCCCAGGGTCACACAGCTAGTAAGTGTCAAGTGTTTGGTCTGAGGCCAGATTTGAACTCAGGTCCTCCTGACTTCAGGGCCAGTGCTCTATTCACTGCACCACCTAGCTACCCCTGGAAATTTTCTAACACAGTTTGTTTAACCACTTGTCTGGTAAATTGTAGCAGAGATTCCTTTTGGGAGATAGGTTGGCCTAGATGACCATTCCAACCTTCAAATTTTATAATTCTGTGAACCCTCACTAGGGCAGCTAGGTGAATCAGTGGATAGAATACCAGGCCTCAAGTCAGGAAAACCTGAGTTCAAATACCTCCCCAGACACTTACTAGCTGTGTGACCCTGGGCAAGTCACTTAACCCTGTTGGCCTCAGTTTCCTCATCTGTAAAATGAACTGGAGAAGGAAATGGGAAACCACTCCAGTATCTTTGCCGAGAAAACCCCAAATGGGGTCACAAAGAGTCAGACACAACTGGAAACAATTCAATGAACCCTCACAATTTAAACTAATTTTAGTGGAAGCCATACCCAAATTAATTATGAGAATTGGAGTGTTTTTTTTAAAGAAATACAGATCAATGACTTTCAGAAAAACATGGGGTAATTCCAACTTACCATTGAAAATGTGGCTCCAAATCCTAACCTGTTTAATGAATTCATAAGCCATTTGTAATTAACAAATTCCTTTTGAATAATAATAATAATAGTTAGCATTTGTACAGAGATTTGAAATTTACAAAGTACTTTGCACATGTTATTTCATTTGATCCTTATAACAGCCCTGTGAGGTAGATGATATCATTCTCACCATTTTACAGATAAGGATACTGAGGTAGAAAGGGGTTAAACAACTTGCCAAACATCACACAGCTAGTAAGCGTCTGAGGCCACACTTTGACTGTCCTAAGGTCTATAACTATGTTGTTCTCCTTCTCCTCCCCGAAGTGTTGCTTAACTTGCTTGGCAAACTGCTTCTTCATAAACTGCACAAAGATAAGCTCCAGCCCAGGCCAAGTTTTCATAAATTCCACAACATTAAAGTCTATAATTACATAGGGGATAGAGCACTGAATTTGGTACAATCCACAATTAAAATTCTGCTTCAAGCACTTACTCATTGCCTGACCATAGGCAAGTCAATTCCCTGCTCTGGGCATCAGTTTCTTCATCTATAAAATGAGGATGCTAATACTTGCAGCTGCTGCTTCACTGGGTTGCTGTAAGGCAAGTGTTCATGGAACTCCTTAAAATGCTTCATAAATGTGAGGTATTACTACTAGGTTTGTCCCCCAAAGAGATCAGAAAAAAAGGAAAAGGACCCATATATACAAAAAGACTTGTAGCAGCTTTTTTTGCAGCAGCAAAGAATTGGAAATTACAAGGATGCCCATCAATTGGGGAATAGCTAAACAAGTTGAAGTAGATGATTGTGATGGAATACTACTGTGCTGTAAGAAATAAGGAGCAGGATGCTTTCAGAAAAACATGGGAAGACTTATATGAACTGATGCAAAGTGAAGTTAGCAGAACCAGAAGAACATTGCACACAGTAACAGCAACATTGTATGATGATCAACTGTGAATGACTTAGCTGTTCTTAGCAATACAATGATCTAAAACTATTTCAAAGGACTTATGATGAAAAATGCTATCCACTTCCAACAAAAGAACTGATAAAGTCTGAATGCAAATCAAAGCATGCTTTTTAAATTTTCTTTATTACTGTTGTTTTCTTGGTCTGCATTTTCTTTCACAACACCTAACATGAAAATGTTTCCATGACTGCACATGCATAATCTATATCAAATTGCCTGCCTTCTAAAGGAACAGGGAGGGGAAGGAGGGAGAAAATTTGGAACTTAAATTAAAAAAAAACAAATATTAAAAATTTTTGTTTACATGCAATTGGGAAAAAAATAAAAATTAAATGCAAAAAAAAAAAACCATCAGAGCACTGGCTCTGAAAACAGAGTGATTGATGATGACTATTTATAATAGCAAAAACTGTTCATATTTCTATATTGTTTGATGGCTTGGGGAAAAAAATGCACTCCTTACTCCCACACTATGAGGCAGGTGGTGGGAGCATTATTAGCCTCAGTTTTGTAAGATGGAGAAACTAAGTCTCATAGAGACAAAATGCTTTGCCCAGCCTTATAGACTAGTAAGTGGTAGAATCAGTGGTTGAACCTAGGGCTAGTATTCTTTCCATTACTCCAAGATACCTATAACGTGATATCACAGGTACATCTCATATGCATAGATCTACCACCTCACACTGATATACGAGGGAAAGGCATACACCCTCAAAATTATGTTTACTCGGGTTGGTAGATGCATGAGAGGGTATGTGGCATGGGGATAGGTGGGAACACTTGTGTTTCAAAACGTGTTTCACAACAATTGTGTTGTCTCTCCCACTGTAATGTAAGCTGCCTTGTTTCTCTTTGTATCTCCTGTGCCTTGCACATAGTAATAACTTACTAAATACTTTTTCATTCTTCCAGTTCAATGATACAGTGGGGCTAAAGAGGAGAGAATGTAGCAGGGGAGGGAGAAGCAAGCACAGAACCACAGAGAGGCAGGGGTTTGATGTCTGAACTGCCTTCTGACCTCCTTTCCTTACCCTGGAGCCTCTTTCTTCCCCTTCTCAGTTTTAAAGAGACCTGCTCCCTGAGCAAAAAGAAGAAGACAAGAAGAGAAGAGCTATCAGAAAGAAGGATTCAAGCGGAATATGAAAAACTGGGAGACATCAGGTAAAAATCAACCTCTCTCCTTCAGGAGATGACACTTAATGGTAATACAGAAGAAGGCTTAGTTTTTTTGTTTGTTTTGTTTTGGGGGGCAATCAGGTAAGTGACTTGCTCAGGGTCACACAGCTAGTACGTTTCTGAGATCAAATTTGAACTCAGATTTTTCCACACAGCTAGTAAGTGCCCAAGACCAAATTTGAACTCAGTTCTTCCTGACTCCAGGTTTGGAGCTCTATCCACTGCACCACCTAGCCACCCAAAACTTGTTCTTAAAAGTCTCTAAGTCCAAAAATTTTCCATTACTATAAAACCAAGCATTTCAAGAGACATTATTGACTCAGCATTCAGATGACCTCACTACCATTACCCCAAAAGCATTTCTCAATTTCTCACCATAACAGGTGAAAGGTGGGGGGAGAAAAGAGAAAACAGGGGAAAGGAAGCTCAACCCCCTTTCTGTAACACAAGGCATACCCTCAAAAGCTCCATCTCCAATTATTGCTCTTTCAGAACCATCACTTGTAAACAGTGGGGATGGTTCAGCAGGGTACAGTAAAAAAAAAAAGTACTAGATTTAAAGTCATGGGGCCCAGATTTGAACCCCACCTCTGCCACCCACTACCCAAGTGACGTTGGGTAAGCTACTTCCACTGTCTGGGCCTCAGTTTCTTTATATTTAACACGATACTAGACTACACTGGACAAGACTGAGTCTCTTCTATCTGTAAATCTATGCTTTTACTTTTATAGGCACAGAAGGGCTTTTGTTTTGTGTTAACTACCTAAGGAAATATTTAATGCAGTCTTGCCAATAGGTTCTAAGTATGTACCTGCCCACAGGGGTTTTTACCAACTCTTCCCACATGACCAAAATTATGGTTAGTGATGGCTCTTCTATTGGCAGGAAACAAATACGGCTTGAGGTGATCAAGTGGAAAGAACAATGGGTTGTGAGTCATAGGATGGGGGTTCAAATTCTCTCACACGCATTTATCAGCTGTCTGACCTTGGGCAAATATCTTAACTGCTCAGAGCCTCTGTTTCCTAGGATGTTCCACTATTCCAGGAGTGGAATGAGGGAACTAGAGGATTGGGGATCAGTCAGTAGATGTTTCCTTAAATGTTTTCTAGCTACCCTGAGATGGTGACTGGGTTCTTCTTCATCCTGATGACCCTGCTCTGGTTTACCCGGGAGCCTGGTTTCGTCCCTGGCTGGGATTCATTCTTTGAGAAGTAAGTAGTAGCACCTCCCTCCTTGTGAACAAGTGGCCCTAATTCCTCACAGTGCAATCTCTCCTTCCCTTTCTTCTTCAGGGAACAACTAGCCAGAGCCATCTTTTTCTTTCTCTCTTCTTCCCCTTCCCACTCTCCCTGCCCCTCCTCCCCAGCACAATTAGCCTAGAACTAGCTTACCCCCTTCTCTGGAATCTCAGAGGAAGAGAATCGCACCCTATACCTTATACCCTATGCCTCCTCTTGCTGTTATGTGAGAGGAAAAGACGAGAAGGATAGAAAGGGAAGGCAAGAGAATTCTGTACCTTTTCTAAGAATTAAAACTTTCCCTCTTGCCCCCTCCCCCCAAAAAAAGAAGAAGAAAAATGCTGCTTAAAGTTAGTCCCTGGAAAAGAGGTGAGAAATTGCATCTCTCTCCCTTTTTCAGAGGAGGGAGGGCTAATAGGTGTGAGATTCTGCCTTATACTATTAGAAGTCTCTCCCTTCAAGAAGTGGTTGATGCATTACTGAACTTCCTTTTTCTCTCTCCTTTATCTTTGTTACAAGGGATGGGTAAGAGAGGGGAAAAGAAAGAAATGGATGCAATTAAAAAAAAACCAACCAGGAGCATCAATGAAAAGATGATTTTTATTCATTTTGATTTTTGTTCTGAATTTAGCAAACCAAATAAAATGGGCACTTGCATGGACATTATCGAATAGAAAAAGACAATAGAGAAAATACTATTAGGAGCAGCTTGCTTTAAGTATAGAATACTGCCAAGCTTTCACAAGACGGCTTTCACAGCCATCCTGCTTGTCTAGCTTTCTTTACAGGCTTCCTTCTGTTTTTTTCTCTCCATTTAAAAAAAGAAAAAAAGATGCCTCAGGGACCCTCTTTTCTTTCTCTTCTTTTCCTTAAGAAAATTTTTTTAACAAAGAAACAGAAGTTTTTCTCTACCCAGCCTAAAAGCCTTCCTGTAGCAATTCGCCAATTTACTCTTATTCAGGCCCTTTGGGAAGCCATGTTTGGAGGACACAGTGTATAATTACTATTTTGTATTTCCAGATAGGCTGGGAATCGTAGCTATTAGTATATTTCCATGTTTTATTTGGCGCCACCAAAATTTTTCCAGTCAGGTGATACTGATTATTTTACTCAATGATTTTATGATTCTAACTTGTCAAGGATTTTTGTTTGGGATTTTTGGAGGCAATCAGGGTTAAGTGACTTGCCCCAGGTCACACAGCTAGTAAGTGTCTGAGGCTGGATTTGAACTCAGGTCCTCCTGACTCCAGGGCTGGTGTTCTATCCACTGCGCCACCAAGCTGTCCCCTACCTTCTCATTTTAAGGTGCAGGTCCCAATTTTTTTTTAATTCAATAAGCTAGTCGATGAAATTAAATGAGGTGCCCCTGCGAACCAGGCACATTGGTTATTATACACAGACAGGTTGCTCTTTGATAGAAATCAACATTCTGAAAGACAAACAGCACAGAATTTGATGATGGAAAATTGAAGTCCAGGTTCTACCTATGCCACTTATGTGTGACCTTGAGCACAAATCAATCAACTTCTTTCTCTGAGTCTCATTTCATCATCTGTACAATAGAGATCGTAATAGTGTATCCCAAAGATTTTAGTGCAGTTTTAAATTATTAAAGCTTAAATTAAAATGTTAATAAAATTAAATTTTAAAAATGAATCAAATTGAAATTTTTAACAAATTAAAGCTTTACTAGCTTAAAACTACACTAAGACTTTTGGGACACCCATACGTGCACCACCTCCATTAAAAGGCCGTTGGGAGAAACAAATCAGACAATCACATGAAAGGGCTTTGTAAGCATAAGATGTGATAGAAATGTAAACCGCCTTCATGATGAAGGCCACTGTTATTATCGCTGTTCTAACAAGGTTGATGCTAGCATACAGCAAAGTCTCAGCTTGACATTCATGCTCCAGTTTGAGGAAGCAGGTCTCTCTTTGCTCCTCAGTCAGGCTGCCACCTTCTGAGACCAAGTTTCTGTGCCCTTCTTGCCCTAAACAACCACCCCACACTGATTAAAAAAAAAAGTCTGACTTCCTCACCTCCCATCCCTGCCCTCACCACTGCTGAAATGTTCTGCCTTCAAGATGGATAGCACGCCACATTTCTCGACACCACTCCCATTGCCAGTCAAACCCTCTGTAGGAGCTGTTTCCAGGAAGAAGTTGGGTTAAACACACCCAAGAAGTGATCATCCAGACTTTGCTTGGAGATCTGAAAGGAGAGGGGATCTCCTAATTCCCAAGGCCATCATTCCTTTTTGAGACAGTTCTACCAATCAGGAAGTTTTTCCTTATACCAAGCAGAAATTCACCTCTTGGGACAGCTAAGGTGGTGCAGTGGATAGAGCACCGGCCCTGAAGTCAGAAGGACCTGAGTTCAAATTCGGCCTCAGACCAAACACTTGACACTTACTAGCTGTGTGACCCTGGGCAAATCACTTAACCCCAACTGCCTTAAAAAAAAAAAAAAAGAAAGAAAGAAATTCACCTCTTGCCAACTCTCCCTCATTGCTCCTAGCTCCATGCTCTAAGACCTAGGAGAATTTGTCCATTTCCCTCTTCTGCAAGGCAGTCCTTCCAACACTTGCAGATATCTATTGAGTTTCTCTCCCAATTCAAGGTCTCCATTTTCCAGGCTAACCAGGAGTTAAAGTTAAGCCCCTCAGCTGAACTTCATACAGCATGATCACACCAGAATTGAACTCAAAAGTCCTGAAATTAAATGCAAACTTGGTCACTTATTAGGCATATGACTACGGGCAAGCTATTTAACCTCTCTGGGTCTCAGTCTCTCCTCCTGTAAAATAGAAGAAATAAAACATCATTTTCTTAACATTAAAAAAAAAATCAAAGCAACTAGGTTGACTCAGCCAATCTCTAGAGTACTTAATAGAAGAAACATAACATCCAGAAGATCCCAGAGGTACCCAGAAACCCCTGGATACCACCCTACACCTCTAGTCCCTCCTGTGGCATCTTTGACATTCATCCTTGTTTCTTTGTTAGGAAAGGTTACCGAACAGACGCCACTGTCTCTGTCCTCCTTGGCTTCCTCCTCTTCCTAATCCCAGCTAAGAAACCCTGTTTTGGAAAAAAATATAAAGGTAAGAGGGAAGTTGTGGCAGGGGGGACACTAGATCCTAAGGATTAACTATGGTCAAAGAACGCTTATTCTGAAGTTTTCAAAGATAAAAAGAAGCAGAAGAAGAATAATGCCAGATGACTACATTATATAGTAATGTAAATGAAAACAACACCAAAAGTCAATTAAACTAAGACAAATTGTAAGGATCACTCATGGTCCCAGAGAACAGAGGGAAAAATAGGTTCCCCTCCTCTCAGGAGAGTAAGGGACTATGGATATGTAATGGTCCATGTGCTGTCAGATGTAGTTATGTGTGTGCTGGTGTGGCTTCCCTTTTTTCTATGTTTCAAGGAAGGATTCACTGAGGGTGAAGGTATATCAGGATATGGGATATAAAAAAAAACTATCAATAAAACTTGAAAAGTCTTCAAAGAGAGCCTCAGATTTATTATGACCCTTTCCCAAATACCAAAGTAGTCATGCTGATTAGCAGATCCATTCAAATGCCCTTCTCTCCTCTAACGAGACACCTCTGTTTTAATATTGGTTCTGTGCCTTCATGAAACTTTAGATTCAGGAGAGAACAGAGAAGATGCAGTGGAAATGGAACCCATCATTACATGGAAGGACTTCCAGAAGACCATGCCCTGGGAAATTGTCATTCTGGTGGGCGGAGGTTATGCTTTAGCATCTGGAAGCAAGGTAACATTTTTTTTTCTGGGTTTGTTTTGTTGAATGTTTTTGTAGAAGCTTCATTTCATTGGATATCTCAGTGCTGAAAGGGAAGATCTAACTGGTGATTTCTAGAAATTGGGAGAGACAGAGAATAAGTGTCTATTCCACAACCAATCAGTTAACATTTATTAAGCACCTACTATGTGCCAGGCACTGTGCTAAGTGCTAGGGATACAAAAAGAAGCAAAGGATCTCACAATCTAATGGTGGAGACAACAAGTAAAACAAATACGTACAAATAAGCTAAATTCAGGATGAAAAAGAAATCATTAAGAAAGGAAGGCACTAGAAATAAGAAGGGTTAGAACAGGCTTCCTGTAAAAAATGGGATTTTAGTTGGGACTTAAAGGAAGTCAGGGAAGCCAGTAGGTAGAGATGAGGAGAGAGAACATTCCAGGCATGAAGGACAGTAAGAGAAAATGCCCAGAGCTGTAAGATAGATAGTCTTGTTCGTGCAACAAGGAGGCCAATGTCACTGGATGGAAGAATGCATGTTGGGGAATAAGACATAAGAAGACTGGAAAAGTAGGAGGCAGCTGAAGGACTTTGAATGCCAAAGAGAACATCTTCTATTTGATCCTGGAGGGAATAGGGAGCCACTGGAGTTACTGAATAGGAGTTGATATGTTCAGACCTTCATTTTAGGAAAATCACTTTAGTGGCTGAATGGAGGATGGATTGGAATGGAGAGGGACTTGAGGCAGGCAGACAAACCAGCAGGCTATTACAGTAGTCCAGGCAGGAGTTAATAAGGAGTGGTGGCAGTGTCAGAGGAGAGAAGGGGGCATATTTGAGAGATGTTGCAAAGTTGAAATTGATAGGCCTTGGCATCACATTGGATACGGTGCGTGAGAGATAGTGAAGAGCTGAGGATGACACATAGGTTTGAGCCTGAGAGACTGGGAGGTGGAGTAGAGGAGTAAGTCATGGGAAGTAGTAAGATGAGGAGCCCAGTGGTTAGAGAGTCATTCTGTACGGCTGAAATGCCCTAGTATGAAGGCAGATGTTGGTGTGTGGGATGCCACTCAATTTAAAAAAACACAGAGGTATCCAAGGAGAAACAGAAAGTTAATTTATTTGCTATTCTCGAGAATAGGGTGTCCCTCCACCAGAATGCTCTGATGAGAGGAGACAGATTACAGAAGTAGAAGAACCAGATTAAATAGCCCTAATGGGCAAAATCCCCCCTCCCACCAACTGGCCAATGTTTGGCTCACAATCTGTGGAAACAGAAAACAAAACAAAGAGAACAATATACATGTCTGTATTTAGCCCCTTAGTTTGCTGAAGTAATGCCAAAGAAGCAATTAAAGATGTGCAGTCAAGCTAGACACTATACTGTATAGCCAGGTCACCATGACCGAAATATAGCAACAGGTACAACAATGGTGGAGTTTCAGGCTTGGCAAACTTTAACTACTGATATAACAATGGCATGGGGCGGGGGGTTACTTAGGGGTTGGATTCCTGTAACTCAGGTGATTTCTAGTAAACCAAAACGTAGGCCTGTTGGGCTGCTATGCCTGCCTTGAGTCACAATACCATTTTTATTTATTCTTCTGAAAAGTCTTCACAGGACCCCTCATCCCACTCTTATCCCAAACCTTAATTACACTGAGGAGTCTTCACTGGGACATCCCATTCATTGGGAAGAAGAGAAAAAGTGGGCTCAGATTCTTAAAATCTAGCCAATAGCTCACTAACATTTAGACTCCTTAAGAGTGCCCAATATGACAGATGTTCCAATAAGCCTTGTCTTTGGTTGAAAGCAGGCTTGAGTCAAATTCTTTTGGGCAGGATCCATGTGTTGTGATATTGAGGTCTTAGCACCCCTAAACCTCAACAGTAGCAAACAGCGAGTACCAGCCAAGGTCTCCCCATCATTCTCTGGATGCAGATTATGTTTGGTTCCAGTTAACCTCCTCTTTGAGACCCCCTCGAGGCAGGGATAGCTCTATACCCCTTGGCAGCAGGAAGCAGTTTCAGAAGCCAAGACCTTCACCCCTTACCCCAAAAGAATTTGGGTCCCATTTGTTTGAGGGGAAATGATGAGGTTAGGATCTAGACCCCGAAAAGGAAAAACCCTGGACTTTCCCACATGGCCAAATCTCTAAGTTTTTTCCCCCAGAGGCTATAATCCCATCAATGGGCTTTTCATTGTGGCTACACCCAATCTCCCAATTCTGTTACCCTTAACCTAGCCTAGTCCTCCATTGTCTTACCTCCCTAAGGCCCCAGGCCACCTTCCAACCTTATTCCTATCTAGGCTCAATTCTCTCTTGGCCACGGGATCCAGGTCCCTGGAGTTCTATTACCTCATAGACTACTTGGCCACTCCTAGATCCCTCCCATAGTCTTTCTGTATATAAGGTCCATCTTGTCTCCATTAAGATGTTCAGATTCTTATAATCTAGCCAATAGCCTAATAATGCTCAGACCCTTTAAGAGTCTACTCAATATGATGGATGTTCTAATAAACCTTGTCTTTGGCTGAAAAAAAAAACAGGAAAAAAACCCAAATAAAAAAAAAAACAGAAAAAGTGTAAGTCGTGAACCAAACGCATTGGGAAAAGAAATGGAGCTCCCTGTAGGTGTGTAGACAACAGTTACAAGGATTTTGACTAGGTGATAGGGATAGCAGTAAAGCCAGGATTAGAAATCTATGCATGACCCAGCTACTGAGATGTCTGGTGATGACTGTCCCACTAACCAACTTTTCTAAGGATGAGAACATGACCGGTTGGGCATTTCTATTTGCATTTTGTTTTAAAGGTATTGAGAATTTAAGACAACCCACCCTTTTACAACTAAAGAGGGTTAGTGCCTTTTGATGGCTACATCACTTCATTGGTTCATATTGGTTCATGTTAAGCTTATAGTCAACTTAAAAAATAATGACATCAAACAACTCATATTTATATAGCACTTGGAGGTTTAGCAGTGAGCTGGTGCAGCGGATAGCGTGCCAGGCCTAGAGTCAGGAAGGCATGAGTTCAAATCTAGCCTAAAAACTTACTAGTTGTGTGACCCTGGACAAATCACTTAACCTCTGTTTGCCTCAGTTTCCTCAACTGCAAAATGGGGATAATAATAGCACTCCCAGGGTTGTTGTGAGAATCAAAAGAAACAATATTTGAAAAGCACCTAGCACAGTGGCTGACACATAGTAGGTGCTTAATAAATGCTTGTTTCCTTCTTTCTTTCAAAGCCCTTTCTGAATAACAACTATGCAAAATGAGTCATTTTCCTCAGGAAACGCTTATTGAGCAGTCTCCCTCAAGCTGTACTTGTACAATTGATTTTTAAAAAAATAAACATTTAAATCCTATATTCAGTGTTATTTCCTGTTAAATTTACCTTTTTTATGCGTGAGAGCTATTGTTTCCCATCTGTTAAGATCTTTTTTTTTCTTTTTTTTGGGGGGGGGAGGTAATTGGGGTTAAGTGACTTGCCCTGAGTCATACAGCTAGTGAGTATTATGTGTCTGACGCTGGATTTGAACTCAGGTCCTCCCGACTCCAGGGCCCATGCTCTATCCACTGCGCCACCTAGCTGCCCCAAGGTCTTTTTGATGTTTAAGTATTAAAACCTTTGTATAGAATCATAGCTCTAGAGCTGGAGACTAGAGCTGACTCAACTCCCTCCTTTAACTGATAAGAAACCTGAGGCCTGGAGGGCATAAGTGGGGCCTGAGGTTACCTGGGTAGTGAGTGGCAGTCAGGATTCACCTTCAGGTCCCATGACTCCAAATTCAGAACTTTCTCTACCTTAAACAATCATAGAGGAGCTACATTAGACAAATGGCCTGATGAGGCCGATTTAAAGGGCCAAGTTCATAGGCCTTCTGCCTTTGTAAATGTAGTTGGATACACATGGATGACTGTGATTATGGCCCCAGTTAGAGAAAGCAAACTCTCTAATAATGGTTTAGGAGTTTTGGATTCCAGCTCTGCACTGGGAAGGTCACTCTCAAGACCCTGTGTGGCTTCCAGAGCTGTGCTGAGCTAGTAATGCTAGCTAACACTTCTATAGCACTTGTGCTAAGCGCTTCACAAATATGATCTCATGTGATCCTCAGAACAATCCACAGAGATAGGTGTATTATTATTATCCCCATTTTACAGATGAGGAAACTGAAGCAACAAGAGATGAAGTGACTCACCTGGTATCACACAGCTAGTAAGTTTTGGAGGCCAGATTGGAATTCATATTTTCTTGACTCTAGACCTGGCACTGCCCCATGGCCTGAACAAAGGGACCCAGGAGATGCAAATCATAGGGTCAACTACACGTACTTATGAGAAATAAGTTTAGAGAAGTCTTTTAACAGAGTAACAGAATATGCTCAGAAACAGCTAGCAGTCACACCAGTTGGAGTAAGGCAAAGGAAGGGCATAAGGCTAATTGTTCCTCCACATTGGCCCTCCAGCTACCTGGAAACAGTGACCCAAGGTTTCATCAGAGGTCTTAGCCATTCTTTCTGGAAGGCTCCTGGGAAGATAGCACAGAAGATCACAAAAACATAGACCCTCGGGGTGGAAAGGATCTATGCCTGAACGAGAATCCCCTTTAGCTCATACATGACAAGTGGCCATCCAGAACATCTTACATGATGATATCTAGTGAGAGGGAACCAGATAAAACCTGAGTAGTGAGGAGAAAGCCAATTTCATTTTTGGACGCTACTCAAGGTCAGAAAGTCCTCTCCTTCAGTAACTGCTAATTTTGCCTTCTGCAGCCAAGCTGAATGAGTTTTTTTGTCTCCCATGTAACAGTCTACCAAATGCTAAAGACAGGTGTCATATCCATCCTGAGTCTTCTTTTTTCCAGGCTAATGGCCTTCCCTTGCTTTCACCAATTCTTGAATGGCACCATCTTGAAGCCTTCTGAACCCCCTCCTCGGACAGTTTCCAGCTTATCTATTTCCTTTCTAAAATGTGGCACTCAGAACTAATTAGAATACTCCAGATATGTTCTGACCAGGTCAGAGTACAGCAGGCCTATAAACACCTTAATCCTGGGCATCACACTTCCTTATTACAGCCTAAAACTGCTTTAGCTTTTTTGTCTCAATGTGGCATTCCCTTATTGACAGCATCATTTTGACACATGAAATACATTATAAGAAAGAATTCCTTGGTCATAAGAATGATTTCATGATAAAAGCTAGCATTTATATGGCACTTAAAAGTTGGCGAAACATTAGACCTAGTATCTCAGTTAATTATCGCCACAACCCTGTGAGGTAGGTGCTATTATTATCCCTAACTTATAGATGAGGAACCTGAGGTTGAGAGGTTAAGTGACTTGCCCAGGGTCACACAGCTAAACATCTGAGGCTGGATTTGAACTCAGTTCTATACTGACTCTAAGTCTAGAGCTCTTACCTATTGCACCACTTGGTGCCTCTGGAATGGGAATTCTTTTGCCATGGAAGGTGATGGAATGAGGGTATTAGAGTCAGGTCCTGATCTATATAGGGGTACAAGTGGCCTATTTGGTCTCAGAGAATTCCTTACAAGAGTCCTGCTCGAAGATTCCTGACCACATCCGGCATTTCGACCTCCCTCTTACCCTGTCGCCCTCCCTTCTCTCAGTCCTCCGGTCTGTCCACATGGATTGGACACCAGATGTTATCCTTGAGCACCCTCCCACCATGGGCAGTCACCCTGCTGGCATGCATCTTGGTGTCCGTGGTCACCGAGTTTGTTAGCAACCCCGCCACCATCACCATCTTCCTGCCGATCCTCTGCAGCTTGGTGAGTAGAAACAAGGGCAACCTCACCTCCCCAGCCAAACTGCCCCAAATAGCCCCAGTTTGGAGGCCAAGACTAATGGAAGGGGACAAAAAGGGTGAGTATCTATTCTCTTCCACCTTGGACTATTTCCTGCAATCTTTAGTTACACACCTCTGAGTCTCCCTTTCTATAGGGTAGAGAATGAGTAGAAATAAGCTTAAATGACAGGAGAGGGGCCAATAGATAAACACTAGCACGGCTTGAATGCAACGCTAGGATCCCCCTTCCAGAGTGAATGACTGAAAAAGCATGTATTAAGCATTCATCATGTGCAGAGCACAATACTCTATGCTGAAGATACAAATAGAAAAGCAAAACAGACCAGGAAATCATATTCCAACTGAGGAGATAGCATCTATAAGAAGTTTCAGCTGTAAATCAGGTGGAAGAGCCAGGTGGTCCTAAGAGCTAAGCATCTGAGCAGGTGCTAATGCATCTTCTTTGGTGTCATTTCCATCGATAAAACCACATATACTGAACAATATGAGACAATAGTCAACAGTGTTAGGGAAGAATTGGGCAAAACAATATGGAGAGAATCCTCATAGAGGCCCATACACCCCAGTACAAATAATCACCCCAACAAAAGTGTATAGGCCAAAGTAGGAAGGAGCAGATGAAAACTGAGTTACCGCAACCTCAGTAAGAGAGCCCTTCTACCAGATTCAGCTCAAGAAAGAAGGGGAAACAGTTGTCTAGAAGTTTGGAAGGGCCAGAAGATAAGAAAATGATACCACATGATAGAAAAACGGTAGTGGTCTGCCTCACTCCACATAAGACCTGGTGAAAAGGAGGCAAAAAAAAAAAAAAGATCCCTCCTCTTTATTTTTCTTCCTATTTTCTTTTCCACTTCCCTTCCCTTTGTTCTGACCTCTCCAGCCATTTTTTATCCATTTTCTCCTCAGTCTCCTTTTTATCTCTTTCCCTTGGGCCAGAGAGAGGGTATATTAGTGAAGTCAACACAGTGGGGTCAAAATTCCGTAATGGCCCATTATCTGCACTTAGAAGAAAAATTCCATGTTAGAGCTGCATACTGAGCATACTCGACCATATAACAGACATATGCCATTGGTCACAAAAAAGACTCCAGGAAGGACAGTGTAGATGGTTTAAAGCAATTCATTTCTACTGGGGGAAAGATCTCACAGTATATGTCCTATTGGGGACGGCTCATTGATATGAGCACATGACCTCTACTTAGAAAAGAGGGTCTTTCCAGGTGGTCACCACATTATAGTAGTGTTCTCCAAGGAGGAGCAGTTAATGTTACACGGTCATTTAGAACTTACTAAAAACAACAAACACAACAAAATATGTGAATGGGGGGGGGGTGAAGTTTCATACTGAACTTAATGCTCCTATTAATTTTCTCCTCTCCTAGTCTGAAACCCTCCATATTAACCCACTCTACACTCTGATCCCTGTGACCATGTGCATCTCCTTTGCTGTTATGCTGCCAGTGGGCAATCCCCCGAATGCTATTGTCTTCAGCTATGGCCACTGCCAGATCAAAGACATGGTGAGTTATGGGTACCGAAGGCACCAGTATTTCCTCTCCCTTCCAAGTCCATAGGAAATGAGCATTTTCCCCCAACTCTCTCTTAAAATCTTCCCAAATAATAGTACCCTTTTATTAATAACAACCAACCATGTTTTTCCATCCTCAAATCAGACATCCCCAATAGTTGCTTTATTGGTCCAGTCATCCTTCCTCCACTGGCCAAGCCGCCAGCCCTAAATCACTGGGATCTCTCTGATGCCTTGGGATGTCATGTCTGTCCCCCTCTGCTGAGTTCTGGTTTGTCATGAACAAAAGAAAACTTCAGGAACCACTGTAGTATGGATAATTCACCTTTAAAAGGTATAAAGTCTGGCTGAGAGAGAAACAAGATGATGGAACACCTTGAATCCATGATACATGTGACTATAAGCTTCAGAGGGAGATATGATAGAACTCAGGTGGAAAAGAAATTAATTTGCTCTTGCATCCCCAGAGGACATAAGCAGGAACAATGGGGAGAAGTTGCCAAGAGGCAGATTTAGGCTTGATGCCAAGAAAAATTTCCTAACAATTAGTGTGTCCAAAAGTAGACTAGGCTGCTTTGGGAGGCGGTGGGTTTCCCTTACTGAAGGTCTTCACACAGAGACCAGATGGCCGCTTGTTGGGTATATCATAGTGGGAGGTTCCTTTTGGTTGTGGGTTGGAATAGGGGGCCACTCAGCTCCTTTTCAGCTCTGAAATTGGTGCTTCTGATTCTCTGATCTATGATCTATTCTATGATCTGTATGTGGGTTGTGTACTTGAACTTCAGTTTCTCCATCAGATAATCATCCTACTAGCGGATCCCTCAGAGAATAATAATGTATATAAAAGGTTATAGCAGCACAGATTTAGAACTAGAAGATGGCTTAGAGGTCATCCAATCCAGTCTCTTCACTTTACAGATGAGTAAACTGAGGCCTAGAGAGTTTAAGTGACTGGATTACTACTCACACAGTGATGAAGAGAGCCAGGATTTGAACTCAGATCTTCTGCCTCCAGATTCAGCATTATTTTCCTTAAAATACCTTTCATTAAAAGCACCATCAAAGAACAGTCTACAAATGTCATACTGTCCTGACTTTAGAAAAATGAAAGTGAAACATTTCATTCTTTGACCACTTCGAGGCCTTTCAGAAAGAGTGACTAAGAACTCTGATGAAAACTTGGGTCACTGTTTCCAAGTCCTGAATATAGTTATCCCTTCCACATCACAGGGGTTTGGGGTGTGACATGCCAGTGATCTGGCAAATCCATATAGAATTTTTTGGCCCTGTCTTCATTCTAGAGAAGAAATCTGAATTTTTTCTTTTTATTTTATGGGGTGTTCACAGTACCCTATTTATACTTAAGTTAAGCATTTTTCTGTGTTGTCTGCTGGCCTTTGGGTGTCAACGGAAGCTTCTGCAAAACTCCCCCCAAATTCCCATTTAATTTCCTATGCTGACTTGTGATGTATCAAAACTGCAACGGAGAAAGTTGCGATGTGAAAGGGATAACGACACCATCATTTTTCACCCCCCTGCCCACACCTACATGTCTTCCCTTCTGCCCAGTAAGAGAAAGAGCAAGAACAATCTTGAGGTTTAGAGTTTATTGTAGGTTCTAGATATTCAAACCCTGGCCAAATCCCAAGTGGGATGTAGAAACACCGCACAGAATCAGAAGACCTCAGGTAAGTTTCCAGTTCAGCCCTCTACTAGCTATGGGATCTTGGTCATTCCATTTTTCTAATAACTTCATCTCCTTATCTCCAACACAGACTCAGCTCAACAGAAGCTCAACATGCCACCTCCTACCTCCATGCATTCTCCTAGGTCATTCCCTAGAATGCTCTCCTTCTCATCTCTACCTTTCAGAATTCTTACCTTTCTTAAAGGCCATTTCCTCCACGCAGCCTTCCCTGATTCCCCTAGCTATCAGGGTTCCTTCTTTCCCTCCCCTAGGAAACACTTCCTGCCTGATCTCTCCGCAATCTCTACTTTGTCTTATACTTCCCATGCACACCCCTCTCTCCCAGCAGAATGAAAGCCATGTGAGGGAAATGACTAGTTTAATTTTGTCTCTATCCTAAGCGTGTAATGCAGTGCCATGCACGTAGTAACACTGAATGAAGTATCTGTGTTTTCATCAGCACAGAGATATCCCTGTGTAGGAATTCCCTCTACCAAATGACTTAATAGATAATAATAGCAAACATTTAAATAGTTCTTTAAGGTTTGTTGAGTGCTTTACTTGTTATCTCACTATTATTCCCATTTTGCTGATGAGGACTCTGAATCTGAAAGAGGTTAAATGCCTTTCCCAGCATCAAACATCTGTCTGAGGCAGGATTCAAACTTAGTTCTTCCTCACTCCAATTCTAGCACTATATTCACCAAGCCACTCTGAGGTACACAGAGGTTAAGTGATTTGCCCAGAGACACACTGCAAGTCTCCAAGGCCAGACTGGAATCCTGGTCTTCTTGATTCCGACGCCAGTACTCGAGCCATTATACCAAGCTTCTACCTAGAGCTGGGCAGCTAGGTGGCACAGTGGATAGAGTGCCAGGCCTGCAACCAGGAAGACTCATGTTTCAGAGTTCAAATCTGGCCTCAGACACTTACTAGCTGTGTGACCCTGGGCATGTCACTTAACCCCGCTTGCCTCAGTTTCCTCATATGTAAAATGAGCTGGAGAGGGAAATGGCAAACCCCTCCAGTAGCCCAAATGGGATCCCAAAGAGTCAGACATGACTGAAACAACTCAACAACCTAGAGATTGATAAATATTGAATTAAGTTGAATCTACTACCTGTTCTTATGAAGATGAAACAAGACAAAAAATATGAAAGCTTCATAAATTAAAAAAATACTGTGCAGATGTGTAAACAAAAGGCAGCCTGGGTAGTGAGCTATCCTAGAAACCAGGAAGACTTAGTTTTAAGTCCCATACCATCAACAAGTCACTCTGGGTGCATTAGCTAATTCTCTAAGGCTGTAAGTTGCAGAGATGGTAATGCCCTACATTGGTAGAGGGAATTTCCTTCCTAGAGAGTTCCCTATACCAGTAAAAGCACAGGACCAGTCTCTATTCCTACAGGTACTATTCCCTAAACATATTCAGTGACAGAGATGCCTAGTGGTAACTATTCCTCTCTCACCTCACTACCTAGCACACGGTATTCTCAAACTGACCACCTGCATTCTCAGAATTCTACTTTGGCATCAAAGCAATGGCCCTTACTGCCCTACAATTTGGACAGCAAGGCCTTTACGCTAAGCACAGCAAAGGACAAGAATGATTAATAACTCCCCAGCTCAGGCTAGGGTACAGTAGGGAGAGGTTTCCCCACAGTCTAGTCATTTGCTTGAAAAAATTTTCTAGCACACACTTTTCCCTTGCAGTGACAGGCTAGAAGATTTGTTTTCTGTATACTCTTTGTATGCTTGGCGACTCCCCTGGGTGGGATAACAGTCATACTTACTGTACTAATCTTTCCATCTGGTCATACTGCTCCCATCACATCTCCCACATTCTACACTCTACACATAGTTCTGCTCAGTGCCATGGCATAAATGGTATGGGCAAAGGCTACTGAGAAGATATACCCTAGAAAGAGAGGTCTCATTTGCTAGTACTCCCTCCTATGCTCATCTCCAAGAGGGAGGGGTGAGTGAAAAGTAGACATAGGCAATCTCCACTGACAGATAGACCTACAGTGTTTATGAAGCTGGCATTGTTCACCCTCTCCCATCCCTAACTCCTGAGAAATTTCCCTTTCTTTCTTACCTTTCCATAATTACTGGCAAAACCAGAACACATGGCAGTGGTAGGAAGATGTAAGGTAGATGTTACAAGGATAAAATAATGTCGCTCCCACAATTGAGACACTCCTCCCCCTCCACTGTCCCCCCTTTCCCTCCCAGTGAGTCTGTACCTTCTGGTTTAGGGAAGTGACTGGAATATATTGGTTTATTTCCTATAGGTGAAAGCCGGCTTAGGTGTCAATGTAATTGGACTGGTGGTAGTGATGGTGGCTATCAACACTTGGGGAATTAACCTCTTCCATTTGGATACCTTTCCAGTCTGGGCTAAGGTCAGTAACATCACTCATCAGACCTAGCACATGTGGACAAACGCACCAAACCAAAGAGTGAGTGCAGGGAGAGTCCAAACGGCAAGCTAAGGAAATCGACATGTACGCGTAACCCTGGAGCCAAGCAACCTGAAACATTCCTCACTTCGAAGGCCAGGCACATGTGAGATGGAAGAAAAATGCAGCAACTGGAAGGACAGACATTCTGATTTTCCGTTGACTTCTTTCCTGCCCTTCTTATAAGTGGTCACTAAGAAAGTAGTTTTGAATTTTTCTCATTCCTCTCTATCCACTGGCTTTAGATATTCTTCTTAAAACAGAGATGTGGTTTTATGTAGGGCCCTTCTAGAAGAAAGGAATTTCTCACTTTTCAAAGCCAGCAAATCTGCGGGAAAAGACTACATACAATCTTGCCTGTGCAAACCCTGCCCTGTATTTTAAAAGCAACATCTCACTGCAGCCCAGAGGCGGAGTTCTTGTCCTGCAAGGGTTGACTTGGATCCATCATGTAGCATGTTACGCATTAAATGTTGCCTTAGGGGGTTGAGGTGTCAAATTGTCAGGCAGATGAGCACAGAAGGCAAAACAATGCTGGCTGGAACAATTAATAGCATTTCTCACCATTCTTGGTGCCTCTCCCAGATCCTAAAAGGCAACTTTAGTTTCTTTCTTCTAAATGTTTGATTGTTCTAACTCCTGCCAAGCAGAACCTTTATTACAATTTCTTCCCCACCAAGATTCCCCACCTTTGTTATCTGTAGCATTTCTCTCTAGGGAGTAGCACAGAAGGGGAAAAAAAAAGACTATTTCCCTTTTCAGATAGGTCCATAGTTTTCTATCTCAACATGAAAAGAAGTGCTGAGAATTAATAAGATTGGAGGGACCTTAGAAGTCTAGCCCAGTTCTCTCATTTTACAGGTAAGGAAACTGAAAACTGAGGGCCACAGTAGACTCTTCTAACTTCACACAAGCAACAGGGGTAGAATTGGAATCTGAAGCCAGGGCCTCTGATTCCAAACCCAGCATTTCCACTATGCCAAGCTGGGACAGGAAGAAAAGACTGAAGGGCAAAGAGATTGATGCCCCCTCTCTCTCAGTAGACTCTAGCTTCCCATTATTAAAAAAAAAAACACCCTTCTCAATGATAAGGGAGGAAAAAAAATTTTTTTCATGACTATTTTATCAGAGGGCTAAAAACTATATATAAACCAGTAAAGCTGCTAAATGCATTATTTTACTCTATTTAATCTCATATAGAGCTAGAAGGAACCAAAGGAAGCTATGAAGAAACTTTAGCTTTTATCATTTCCAAAAACCCATAGGAGCAGCTAACATAGTGCTAGAAGGTGTAGACTGATGAGAAATCATTGTCATCCCTCAAAGACCAGAAAGCCCAGTAGGGCACCAATGATCTCCTCCTATCTTTGTGTTTTCCCTAGTGCTTTGCACTCTGCCCTGTGCTCAGTAAGCATCCAATAAATGTTTGTAGCCAATGAATATTCCAAAAAGACTATTTTAGAATACAAGCTTTTCTTCAGCTCAATGAGAACTAGCCTACTTCTTCCATAATAGGTGTTCTACATGACTAAATGAATGCTCATTATTCCAGTAGCTTTTCTTCAACTCAATGAGAACTAGCCTACTTCTTCCATAATAGGTGTTCTACATGATTAAATGAATGCTCATTATTCCAGTAGCTCACCAGTAACATATATTTCTAATTACTGACATCAGTTATTTGCTAAATGTCTTTGGAAGAATCCCTTGTAGTCATCTGCACCTATTTTAATTGGCTTCAAGTTCCTTGTTAGCATGTTTGACTCGTCCTACATGAACAATACAAATAAAATCATTATTTAGCTTCTCTGGGTTGTACAGATTCTTTTGTTATCTAACATTGGCACTCCATATCACTCATATTTCTATAGTATTTTAAGGATTTTAGAAGAGATTATTTGAGTTGGGGGTAGTGGGAGTGGGAAGAAAATATATGTGAAAAATAGAAACCAGGACTGTGGGAATAGAACTGCTCTTTCCCAAAGCCATTAACACCAACCATGGCTCCTAATCCTGCCACACAAAATCACCTATTCCACTATTCTATTGTTGGGAACCAACATGATTACTTCATATCACCATATGAACAGTAACTTCTAAACATTAACACTCCAATACTTGGTAATATCATTACTCACCTAGCCCCCTTCCGTAAATATGTCTCTCTTGCCAACCTCCCAAGGTAAGCTATTCTTTCTAGACTCAAAGAATTTTAGACTTGGGAAGGACATAAGATTGAGCTAGAAAGGACCTTAGGGGTTTAGCCCAACCCCCTCATTTCACAGATAAAAAAACTGAAGCCCCAAGAGTTTAAGTGATTTGCACAGGGTGATACAGCTAGTATCTGAAGTAGGTCTGCCTGATTCCAAATCCAGTGTGTTCTACACCATACTATCCTACTTCTCAACTTCATTTTATGAGTAAGGAAACGGAGAGTCGGGGTAGTGAGACAATTTGCCCAAGTGAATTAGTGGCAGAGCTGAGACCATCAGTACCAAGGTCTCCTGACTCCTAGTTCCAGGGCTCTTTCTATCATGATATTTCTTCAGTTCTTAGATATTCCTCCATAGTGCTGAAGGTACTCAATATTTGACAACTGACAACACAATTGTGTTTCTCAGACTCAGAGACTTAACTTGAGTACTTGAGTATCTATGCAAACTCCCTTGTAAGGCTCAATGTATTATTCCCTTCTCCAAGCCCAGAGTCCTAGCAATAAGGCGGAAAGCTAGTTCTTCTCAATCAAGGATCAAAATCCTACATAGTAGTCCATAGCACTGGTACCAAACTCAAATAGAAATGGATGCCTTAGGGCCACATGTTAACTTAGAAAACCACAAATTAACATTATCTATGTTGTATTATATTTTTGTTAAACATTTCCCAATTACATTTATTCTGGTTCCAGCCACTAAAGGAGTCATTACCTCCTACCATAAAGATGATGGACTCAAAAATGCATAATGAAACATACATTTTTAGACATAGTCAAAGTATGAATTTGTTTTGATGGACTATGCATATTTATTATGATGGCTTTATTTTTCTAATTATTATTCAATGTGGAGTGACAAGAAATGCTTGATAAAAATAATTTTAAAAAAAAATAACCAGAAAATGCTAAATAATCTTTGGCAACTAACAAAAGACACACCATGATTTTAAATTATATTATTTACTCATTGATGCTGCTTTTTCTTTTTGTCTTTTTTTTTTTTGGTGAGGCAACTGGGGTTAAGTAACTTGCCTAGGGTCACACAGCTAGTGTCAAGCGTCTGAGGCCAGACTTGAATTCAGGTCCTCCTGACTCCAAGCCTGGTGCTCTATTCACTGCACCACCTAGCTGCCCCTTCTGCTTTTTCTCCTGATGGAAAACAGATCAGAATCTTACACTAAAATCTATGATAAATGAATCATGCCTCAGTTTTTATTCATGTAATTTATCAATCTTAAAACTACTAATACACTGGAGGAAGCAAAAATGAAAAGAAAAAAATGCCATGTGCAAATTACAATACAGGAAATATAAGAGAAAGCTCATTTCCTCCCTCATAGTATGTAATGTTCATTTAGCAGAGGCTAATCAGAGCACAGTGAAAAAGGAGTAGACCACAGAGGAAACACAAACACTTGGAATACTATCCAAAGGGTGAGGTCTAGCCTAGTGGAAATGAAAACATTACGTGCTATAAATATATGTGCACAAGCTCTGTGAACATGTTTAAAAATACTCACATATGGATGCCTTCTATTTTACCTACATTCACACAAATGGAAATTGAAGGGGAGTAAATTAGGTGGAAAATGAAATGGTGTAGTAAAACTGTTCTTTTAGCTCAAGGAGGAGGGAGCTGAAGTTTACAGCAGCATAAAACACCAAAATCAGAAGTGGCTAAAAGCATTAGAAATTTCAGCCAATGAAATTATGGCCCTTCCCTTTTTTTGGCAGAACATTTTTTCTATTTCTTCATGATATAAAAGTACAGTGAGTACAGCAATGTTTCCCAAATTACTCCACAGAACACACATTCTACATAAAGTTTAGAAAAGTATATCATGTACATATTATTTCATTTGATCCTCACAAGAGCCCTCTATGGTAGGCAGTAGGAGTATTACCCCCATTTTTACAGATGAGGGAACCAGGATTCAAAGTCTTATAGCTAAAGCTATATACTCAAAGTATATAGTTAAAGAGAAGAAGCAGGATTCAAATCCTCATCTTCAGAATCTACATCCAATGGTCATTCCATTTACATCATGTTCTTTTGTAGAAATAGTAAGGATCTAAGACTAAGTCCTTATATAGGTAACCCAAAACTTGGCTATTTAGTAAAACTCTACTTTTGAGTAAAGAGAAAACTTCTGAAGACTTTCTCCAGATGGTTTTGCAGCAGAAAGTAAGGCAAAACTTACAACTTACAATACACCAGTTTCCCCAGAACCTCCTAGAAAACTGTGGTAAAGATGATAAAAATGATAGTCACTTTTGGAAATCTTTAGGAACACAGGCACACAAATTGTTGGAGGAGCTATGAATTGGGCCATTCTTTCTGAAAAATTATTTGGAATTATGTGACTAACATAAAAATCCTTTTAACCCATCATTATTCCTAGGAATAGAATTCCAAAGAGGTCAAAGACAAGAGAACAGGTCTTAACTATACCAAAATATTCATAGCAACATTTCTAGTAGTAGCAACCAGGAAGCAAAGTTGTTGCCATCAATTGGGAAATGACTGAAAAGACTGTGGTACTTTAATGTCTGCAGATAGTATGAGAGAGGATAGCATGCCAGACATTGAGATAAGAAAGGCCTCAATTTAAGTCTACCTCCCATGATTAGCAACTGTGCAGTCATTGGCAAATTATAACTGCTCTGAGCCTATTTCCTCATCTGTAAAATGGGAATAATACCTGGAGTACCTATCTCACAGAGTTACTATAAGGCTCATTAGATGACCTACATAAGTTACTTGCAAGCTTCAAAGCCCTATACAATGATAGCTTGTAGCAGCTAGCATTTATATGGCACTTTAAGATTTGCAAAGGGTTTTACAAATATTTTCATTTTTATCTCCAAAACCCTGGGAGGTAGATGCTATTATACCCATTTTACAAATAAGGAAACTAAGGCAGACAGACTAATAAGTGGTTTTAATTTTTAAAAGAGCTAAAAGTTGTTCAGAGTCAAGTGGTTCTAATCAGGTGGGTTAGACTAGTTGGTCAATGACAGGAAAGCTTAGTAGAGACAGGAAGCCTGGAAGTCTGGAAGACCTTGCCTCCAGTCCCACCTCACATATATGATGGCTGTGGGACCTTGAATAACTCCCTAACTCCTCACTGCCCCAGGCATCATTTTAAACAGACTAAGTTGTAAACCAGGTGATCTACATTTGTAGATCAGCAATATAGTGGATAGAATACTAGGCCTGGAATCAGGAGGACTCCTCACCCTGAGTTCAAATTCAGCCTCAGACACTTACTAGCTGTGTGACGCCAGGCAAGTTACTTAACTCTGTTGGCCTCAGTTCCTCATATGTAAAATGAGCTGGAGAAAGAAATGGCAAACCACTCCAGGATCTTCGCCAAGAAAATCCCAAATGGGGTCATGAAGAGCTAGACATGCCTGAAATGACAGAATAATCAACAAATGAAATCAACAGGTCTGGCCCCAAATCCAAAAGAACCCCAGCTGGTCACAGCCATCTGTGCCTCTTCCCTTCCCTTGTTCCCTCCCCCAGCCCCAAGAAAGTAATAAGACTCATTTTGTTGTGAGGTTTAGAAATCAGTTCCAAAGGCAATGTTGATGGAACACAATAAAACAGATTTTAGAATTGGGAGAGTCCACAGAGATTCTCCCCTTCAATACTTTCTCTTTAAAGAGAAAGAAACTGAAGCCTAGAAAGATGATATTACCGGCACCAAAAGGCAAACACTTGTAACCCTGGTCTCCTGATATCAAATCCAAAACCATTCCTACTACGCCAGGCTTCTTATGTACCAGAAGGGCACCCTGCAATGGGAACACCACTTGGACAAGTTTGGATGATACCTGGAAGTCTACTGCTTTGGATATCTAAATTCTGAGGGGGTTTTTTTAATCTCTTACTTCATAGTTACAAAATACACTGCTGTGCTGGATGTATATAAAAGCATGAAAAACTAGTTCTGTTTGTAGGTTCTGTTAAATAATCTGAGTAATGACACACCACAAGTGCGGTTGCTTAAAAACAAACCCAAACCAAAAGAAACCATGCAAGTCCCATGAGAGCAGAACTCCTAATAAAATAATATTTAATTTTTCCATACTTTAAAATATATACTTTTAAATTAGTATGTGGACTGGTAGTTCATCTGCCCAGCAGCAGGGGTCATGGAAGAGAACTAAATGCACACGATGGGAGAATGCTCCTTGAAGTAAATGACTGAATTTGTAAAACAAATACTGTATAGGTTGAGCCAAATTTTTTTTCAGAGAACATATCTTTGAAATAATTAAAATAAACATAAAAGTAAAGTGTAACAAATATTTTCATTTTCTTTATATACAACCTTTCACTTATACACAATCATAGAACGTTAAATCTCCTTAAAATGAGAATGATCCTATTTAGGAGGCAGTATGGGACAAAGTAAGTACATTAAGCATAGAAAAATGCATTCCAAGGAGACTAATCTCAAGAGCAAGTTTAATGTCCTATTTCTTTTTTTCCCCCACAGCACATACTGTTGGAGAACTAAGAGGTCTTTAAAAAAAACCAACTTACTCACTATTTAACTTATTACACAAACAATTATAAAACTGCTGTTCTATAACATAAAATAAATGGAAGTCACCAGAAATCAGTTGCTATATAATGGTTTTAATTGATTTGGAAGAACACTGTTTGACACTAAATGCTTATAAAGCATCCAGTGTGGTAGGCATAATTAGAGAATTAGTATACTGCCATATAAAAAGCAACTTAAAAAAATTACTAGATATCAACAATTTTAAAAGGTAAGGGGACAGACCACTAATCAAAACTAGCATTTCCTAGTCAAGCACCATGACTCAAGTAACAGAATCTCCCACGCAGGTACAGGGCTCAGAGGAGTCCAGGAAGAGTAATACAGGGTAGTTCTGGTGTTACAGGCATATTTTAGCTCAAAGGCATCTCAGTGTATCTCAGGGTGAAGACAGTCATCCAGTCCTGTAGGAGAGAATAGGAGCTTCTGTTTCAAATAGGAAGGCATCCAGACACTATGAGATGTTGGCATTAAGAGCTAGGAGGTTTCTTCTTAGCATCTATATCTTTTTTAATCTCTTCAAGCTTTTTGGCCAAGTTCGGAATCTTTGAAAAGAAAAGATGAGATTTTAACTTTTCATCTAACCAATACCCTCTCGTTCTCCCCTCCCCATCTGTCCACCAAAGACAGAAAAGTTTCATAAATTTAAATATGAGATAAATTTCATAAGTTTACATTTCTTTCCCAAAGAGTTCTCAAATCACAGGACTAAGAAGTACTACTAAAACTGCTACTTAAGTGCTAAATATGCAAGAATTTGTTAAGTTAAAGAAGGAGGCTTCCTTTAAAAAGCTGACTCTTTCCCTATTTTCACTATACCACACACTCAAACGCTATACGAATGAATGAGATGTATGACTAGGAAATTTTATCATTCCAAAAAGAAGGATGCTACTGCAAATGCTTTTGGTGCACTGAAAGTATGAGTGTTGAAGACTAACAATTTTACCTACCATTCTTTAAAGCAAAAACAACCTTTTCTCCTCTGAAAATCTTTTCAGAGGTTCATTTCCACCTCCACCCACTCCCTTCCTAGGTAGTCAGGCATCCTGAGTTTTTAATCTGCTTTTATCAATGATTCATTCTGTGACTCTGGGAAAATAAACTTCCTTCCCCATAGTAAAGGCTTAATAGCATCTCCTAATGATAAGGATGATGATAATGACAATGATGATAATAGCCAACATTTTTATGATTTAAGATTTGCAAAACTAGATGTATATATTAAAAATCTCCTCTGAATCTCCATCAACAATCCTGTGAGGTAAGTGCTGTTATAATCTCCATCTGACAAATGAAGAAGCTAAGGGTGAGGGATTGTTATTTTCCCAGGGTTCACACAGCCAGTAAATGTCTTAGGCCAATTCTGAACTCCCAAGTTCAGTGCTTTATCTGTGAAACCATCTTGCTTCCTCAGACAGTTCTGAAGAAATCTAAAAGACCTGCAGAAACCACACTATAAAAATTAGTCTTTAAAATTACTGGTAAATTCTGTTACCATAATTAATTCCTCTCTACATATGGAAGTGATAGGAAGCAAAAATTATCCTGCTAAAAGTCTTTTATGCCCTTTCTACTTGATTTTCCACAGGACTTGAAGAAAAGCCCCAATTAAATGAGACAGTATTCACTCAGGGCTAACAAACTACAGCATAAGATCATTGGGAGATTGCTCTCAATTGCTGACAAGTCGCCCTCTTGTGGTGACTTGGGGCAGAGATAAGCACTATGGCTGTATTAAAAGTGTAATGGAAAAATATCTAATAAATGATGGACTTGCTCCAAGATTTAACACTCAGCCACCATCCCTTAAATATTTAAGGGGAAACTGCTCCTTATTTTTGCTGGGATTCAGTTCTGGCAAGGAAAATGCCCACAATTAAGGTAAATCACTTAAAACACTTCAACAGAGACAAAAGGTCTTGTATGACAGCCACTTACGTCATAGTTCTGAGCCAGATACATCCCGACCACATTGCCGAGTGTAAATCCTAGCTGAAGGAAAAAATGGAATAGGAGTTACAGATGCAAAGGTGGAAGGGAAGGGAGTAAATATTTACACAGCACCTACTAAGTGACAGGCACTATATTAAGCACTTTACAAATATAATCTCATTTGATCCCAAACTGATAAAAATTGATGTTCTTTTTTGGAGAACAAATTTAGCAATACCTGAGGGAGTTACAAAACTGATTATCCACCCCCTGACCCAATGATCCCAGTAGAAGACACACAGCCGGAGATTTGTTTTTAATAAAAAGGGAAGGAACTATATCTACACAAAATCATTTGAGTTGCTTTACTGTAAAAGCAAACTGGAAACAACTCACGTATTTAAAGATTTGGGGGATGACTGACTAAAACATGGCATAACGATGTAACTGAATATTATTGTGTTGTTACAATAAGTAATACATGGAAAGATAAAAAGCAAAAGCAGAAAGAATATACACATTGAATGCAACTATATAAAAACAAGTTTTATTAAGTAAATAGGTCAATAGGGGACACAAAACTATTTTAACATTTAAATTCTTTTCTTTAAATTGTTCAGATTATATGACATTCTCGGGAGTTTGTTCCTTATTTGCATTTGTTTACACAAACTTATGACAAAATTTTTTAAATTAAAAGTTTTAACAGCGTTGACCTCTTCTCTCCACTTATGAGAAAAGGTAGCCAAGAAAACTTAACATCAAATCAAATACAATGACATCTTCCCAGGAGTAAAGGACAGGTATTAATCTAAAGACAGGTGCGGTGAAATTCCACCCTATCTTCTCATCTAGTATTAAACCTGTTTTCCTTGCCAAGGCTAACCTCTCCATATGGGTCTTTGGTCCCACCCCCTCTGCGACCTTGCTATTCTCACACCTTCAATCTTTGCTCTCTCTACTGACCAACTCCATTCCATCTGCCTACAAACATGCTCAGATCTCTGCAGCCAGAAAAATCTTTTGTCCTCCTTTTTGCTGCTAAACTTTTAGAAAGAAGCGTACGTTCACTGACATACTTCCACACCCACTTACCCCACCACCCCCCAAGTCTCGCTTCTGTCCTCACTTTACTGAAATTGCTCTCTCCACATCCAAGATCTCCAAAAACCTCTTAACTGCTCAATCAACTGGCCTTTTTTTAGTCTTCCTCTTTGACCCGTCCTCTGTAAGAAACTTGTTCCTTCTTCATTTTAATTCTAATCTGTTCGTTCTCTATCAGAGGCATCACTGTCGATTACTTTTTCTCAATACCATACATTTGAAATTATTTGGGGGGAGGGGGTAGAATAGAGGTTAATCAAATAAATCAGAGCTTAATTATTTAATTATTGGACAGGTTTTTTTGATATTATAATAATAATAAATCACCATGGTCAAACTTTAAGGCCAAAATTACAGATGCATAAACCACAACAAAATAAGGCTCTCTTATACTTGTGGGGCAGCTAGGTGGCTCAGTGGATAGAGTGCCAGGCCTGAAGTCAGGGAGTCTCATCTTTCTGGGTTCAGATCTGGTCTCAGACACTTACTAGCTGTGTGACCCTGGGCAAGTCACTTAACCCTGTTTACCTCAGTCTTCTCATCTGTAAAATAAACTGGAGAAGGAAATGGCAAATCACTCCAATACCTTCCAAGAAAACCCCAAAGGGGTCACAAAAAGTCACATACGACTGGAAAACAACCAAACAATGATACTTGTATTTATACACAATTCAAGCTTGTTTGGATCTGTAAATTGAGAAACAGGGAAAAAAGAAGAAAAAAAAAGCCTAGATACAGAGAGGTTTCAGTAATTCTCTTTAGAAAATGTAGTCTTTCCATACCATCATACCACCTCCCAAACTGTTCAAATTCTTTTTTGTAGACATTTAAATGTGGGGGTAAAATACCACTAGCTTTAAAAAAAACAGTTTTGCTTTTTTTAAGTATCAAAAGTTAAAATAATTTATACAACTTGTGTAGCGCGTCACCTTCACCGAGTCTCATTTTTATCTTCTGAAAAATTATCTTGCCTAAATCTCTCCAGTCCCTTTCTAGATTTAAGATTCTAGAGGTTCTTCCTATGTCTCAAATTATTTCTAAACAAGTTTTAATTTTGTAATTTTACTGGGAATTAGAGCAAGCAGGATCATAGTCACAATAGTAAATATATAAAACTATCCAAATAGTTTGGAATGACTTCCAAACCCTGGTTTTTGGATACCTTTTAACATTTTGACAGAGGTTATGTCCCAGTATGTACTAAGATACGCATCACTTTTTATTCTGCTCTGCCAGTCCATAAGGACAGATTATGACCATTAGAATCCAGAATTTCAGAACCAGAAGGGACCTAAGAGACCTTCTAGTCTAACCTCCTCAATTCTAATTGCTATGAACAAGAATCTGACCAATTTTTTCCACAGGCTTTCAAAAAACCAAATTCTTTATAGATGTCATTTCATCACTGCTGGTACTCCCTACACATAAACTGCAACCCCTTCTAATGGTTCCACCTCCTTTTCTAAGCCTACATTTTGCTTATATTTTTAACGCACAATTCTTCATTGTATGGAAGAGGCTCTAACCTATGCCTACTATGCATCTCTCCATTGCCCTTTAGATGACCTATAATTTTGAGTCTTTATGATTTGCAGCCATAAGGGATCATCAGAAAAATGTTGGTATCTAAAAGATAGGTTTGTGGAAGAGATATAGGGTGTATGGGGTGTTCAGGGAGGACAAACACCTCTGATGTGAGGGTGGCCAAGCCCTTTTCAGGGCTGCTCATCCACCCTTGGCATCCACCTTCACCTAACTCTCACCTGTGGCTCCAAGAAGCTGTAGCATGTGCAGCCATACTCTGATAAAACCATCAGTGCAGACAGGCTAAACCAGGCTGAGGGTAACCAACAGCCGTCAAACTCAAGGAGTTAGGAGGATGTCTACCCCAAGCATGTGAAGACTTCCCTGAGGGGAATGGACGAATGAGAACAATTTGTTCCAACAACCATAAAGGCAGCTGAAGCAGGCACTGTGGAGCACTTAGAGCTTGGTCAGACATTGAAAACACCGAGGTAATCCACTGCGTCCTGGGCCATCTCCAGTCATCCTGACTTTCGTCTTGCCCCTGGACTTGGATAACTCAGAACGAGAGAGCTTGGTGGCTGACTTTGTGCAGCTCCACCTCACTTAAATACAATTCATCCTGAAGTCCAGACACCACTCTGTGATGTCACTGGTCCTCTTCAAAACAAAGGACAAACAACAAAACAACATTGGGATATGTAGAAAATGTAAGAAGAAAACATGTCAATAACATTTTACATTTTAAAAAATTTGGTCTCAGAGAAAAGATGAAGAAATGTACCTCTCTCTTTTTATTAAAAAGGTGAAGACTGTTGCATGCACAGTCATAGCAGTTATAGTTATTTAACTGGTTTTTCTTCTTTGCTAAAAAGCAAGGTTTACTGGGTAGAAGAGGAAGAGGGAAATATTCAGAAGTGTCTCATGTAAAAAGAAAAGGCATTAATCAAATAAGCAAAAATAAAAATATAGGTTTTTGTTTCTGGGAGATGCTTGCAAATATTAAAAGCACTACACAATTTCCCACTTTCCTGTATACTCGATTCTTCTTTTCAATTCTGGTTCCATTTTATTATTCATCTGCAGTGTCTATCCAAAATCTATGTACTGACAGACTAACAGATTATTCACCCAACTATGTATCAGTCTGGACAAGACACATCCTTCTACCACCTTTCTTTTCCCCCCTCAGCAAAGTCAGACCAAACTCTTGATTTATTCTGGATTTCAATTAGAAGGCTCTGCAATAACCTGGGACTTGAAAGCAATCAACACAATGCTATTTACAAACAGGAAAATCTGGAAAGCCTGAGCAAACACATGGAATCTCTACACCACTTCCACTCCCTCTTTTTGACTTGAACCCTGCACTTGACATCTTCCAAGACAGTGTCAAAAATCCTTGGCAAGTACATGTTTACCTGCTCTGTTTTTCATTTGGTAACAATCAGAGGGTCAAACAACCCTACATAACTCTATTGCACCTTTCAAGGATTCTTCTAGGGTCTCAACATAAGCATGAAACACACCATGCTGGAGAACAATCTTTGAAGCAGCAGACTTTCTCTATCCATTCAAATGCCTCCTTAACAGCCAATAAACATAGAAGGACTCTGCACCTCCTGATAACAGCTCCACTGCAAAGATATGGCATACTACAGAACACTGCCTGCAAATACCTGCCTGTTCTCCCATACCCCCATCAAGGACCCCCTCAACATATGGGCAATGGGTCCGCGGTGACTAATGCTCTTAATCACTTTTTTCTATAGTTAATACTATTTTGTTTCCCAAACATTTGATATCCTCCCCTTTTTCAGATTGAGTCAAACAATCTATACATATATCGGCCAATTCAGATTAGATGTATGTAACCTGTTGTTTCCTGTCTCTTAAGACATAAATCAGCATCATTTTTCATTATTTAATTGGTGCTTGTCATTTCTAGCACCTTCCCACTTTTTTCCTGAAGGAAGTATTCATAATTGGTAGGTAACTCTTCTGTGAAGTCAAAGCCTTTGTCCTTTTCCTCTTCTTAATCTTGAACCACATGTTCCAACATTTCTGCTAACCTCTTCTATACCTACCTTTGCAATTAAGTCACCGAGTATTAAGACACTCCAAATCAAATTAAATGGGTTTTACTAAATCCTTCACAGAATTTTTCTATTATCCTCTGCATCAAATGGTCAAACTACAATCACTATTCATGGTGGTCTTTTTTCTTTTTGTTTTACAAATTTTCATAGTTGAGTATTCAAATAAAATGCCAAATGTACCATGAAATAGAAATTACTGTTACATTTGGACATACCAACTCTAAAACCAATTCTGCCAACTTCTTTATTTGCCTCTCCAAAAATAGCCTGTGAGCCATCTTTCCATTTAGCTGCAACTCCCTTTTGTTTCCTTGCTTTATTTATAGCAAGAAT